CCAACCCAGTCCATTCCAGCCCAGTCTAGCCGGGCCCATCCCAGCCCAACTCAGTCTAGTCTAGTCTAGCCCAGGCCTACCCAGCCCAGTCCCCTTGAACCCTGCCAAAAAATTAACATAAAAGAAACAGATTAAAAAAATACTCTTTGTACCTTTACTAATCCCAGACCGACTGTTGCCATGGTAGCAGCTGCATCATTACCAAAACCAAGAGACTGAAATATGGTTGGCGCATAGTACAACACATTAGTCTGGCCAGTAAACTGAGAAAGAAATTAGAAAGAAATGTCATCACAGTGTGAAGATTCAAAGTCACTTATACATACAAGATGCCACTTGCTCATTTTAGTCACGAAGGAAAAGTCTTTAAACAATCTGTTATTTGCAAGATGCAACACATGAATGCATAGATAAGAAAAACTGGTCCTTTCTACGACTAACAGAGAGTGATATAAATACCTGTTGAAAGAACACAAGGCCAACACCGATGAGAAATCGTCCTCTCATGTTATCCACCGTGCTAAGTACGTCACACACCCTGTATTCCTGTGGTTAAAAAAAAACAGAGTTGCAATAAAGCAACATGCCTTTTGATAACAACTTCTCCAGTTAAAGAAATCATGCTTTTGTGAAGTTTATTTTGCTTCTCATGCCCCTCTAACTCCGCTGCATCAACACGAGGGAAATACAGATAAAACTACATGTGACTGTTCTTAGTGATTGTTAACTTTTGGCCTGCCCTGAATCACATGACAATTTTTGGTACAACACAATTTGGCCATCTTGGATTCCAATACAACAGTGCTTGATAATCTTATCCCATTCACAGGAAACAAAACATCCAGACAAATTTTCTGAGAGGACATCCACAAAGACGTATGCTAATTCAACCAACCCAAGTGCAAAATAACCAATCCTGCATGTTCCCTTCACTCAACAACTGTGCCGTATATTGCTGTAAATGGGAAAATAACTTTCCGTTTCAGAGCATATCAGCATGTAGAATGTCTCTGATTAGTAGCATGACACTGTATTCTGTCAAAATTAGATTGGTCGAGATAGGAACAGATAGACTGATCTTCCCGATTGACTCTTACATACATGTTCAGTGAGCAGTGAATTCCTGATATTGCTCAGTTCGCCCTCCACCAGCTCTGTCCCCCTCAGTTTCTGTAACACCATCCGTGCCTGGGTCTCTCTCCCCTTCTTCATCAGGAAGCGTGGGCTCGGGGGTAGGAACAGCATGCCCACCCCTTGCACCAGCGCTGGGACGACCGACAGCCCAAACATGTACCGCCTGAATGATCAAAGTCAGATAGTTAGGGCATCGGTATTTTCAGTATGTGGCAAATATGTCAACCCAGACAGGGAGCAGCAATGACTGTCTGAGCCAACTTGGCCAGTCAGGCCGGCATGTATCTCCCATTTTCTTGGCCAGAAATGACTGAGCATGTCTCTATTTCCCCCAGTCCAGTGATCGGGTTGCTCGCTAGCTAAAGCCATACCCACTTATATTCCTCGGTAGAGAGAGGCAAATGGGGATAAAATGGCTTGCCCAAGGCCACAACCGCTGGGCAGCAGCTGGATTCAAACCTAAACAAAAAGGCCAAACTCCTACGGAACAAGGCCACACTCCTATGGAACAAGGCCACACTCTTACAGAACAAGGCCACACTCCTACCAACAAGGCCACACTCTTACAGAACAAGGCCACACTCCTACCAACAAGGCCACACTCCTACCAACAAGGCCACACTCTTACAGAACAAGGCCACACTCCGATGGACACAACCACTGTTATGCAGAAATTCTGACTGACAAACTAGATAGTGTGCTCTGACTTATGGACTTTATCATAGACAGTGACAATGAAAATGAAAAAATCGGCACTGATAATGGATGATGATCGTAATTAATGATGATAAAAAAGTGTTTGTGGGGATAAGAAAAAATGATTTGTAAAATCACAATTCAAAGTTTTTTGGACTAAACAACAACTAAGGGCAGATAGACAAAATGCTTGACATGTTTACCATCCTGATGGAACTGAGATGAGGAAGTAATTGACAAGATATGCTACGAGGATGCCCAGGGTGATGCCGACCTCGTTCACACAGACCAGCCGACCGCGCTTTTTCTGTGAAGAGCAAAGATGATGGAGTCCATTGTGTCACCGAAGAAAAAAATGGATGGATGCATTTACTAAAAAAATGAATCTGCATGAGTGGCACAATGGCAGATTGATTGTGGGGGGGTGGCTGGTCAAACTTACTCGCAGTCACAAAACTGAATTACAAAGGATGCTGTTGTAATACAGTCCAAGCAAAGAGGTGTACAGGTGCCTTAGGCAGAGATTGGAGGTGCAGATCTTTGCAGAGGCAGGGTAAACTGGGGAACCTGGAGAAAAACCCTCACTGCACAGGAGAGGATCAAACCTTGGCCCCAGTGGAAAGAGGCAAGTGCTTCATGAAATTGGCATCCATGCCAACCATTTAAATTAAAATAAAAACGAATAAAAAAATATGACAGTGCAATTGAAAACAAGAGAATGGGTGAAAAAATGCTTTGGGACAAAAACTTCCTGGAATGATGCAAGGTAAAGATGACTTCCACAAACTATTCTAAACATTGGAACTGCTTTTATCAGATGACAAGAGCCGGCTTATTATGATTTCCACCCAACAAAAAACAATGCAACAACCTTGGCCAGCCAATGGTACTTAAGTATGAAAGAATACACATCAATATGTGAGCTGTCGTGGGATTGACCCCAGCCCCCAAAGAAACAAACAAAAATTCCATTGTTCTCAGAAAGCACCCAGAATACAGTGCTTAAAAGAACATGAAGGACCAAAGCCAACACAGCCGACTCTCATTAATACGAGGGCCTTGGGACTTTCTAAATTAGCTCGTATTATCCGGACCTCGTCTTACGCGAAAGCTGCTGTCCCGCTTGTCGCATGTGTAACCGATCGACCATATCGTTAAGCATACATCATGTACAACTTCCTGTACATACATGTAGGCCTACATTTGTATGCACGAATGTGTGGTTTGGAATTCAATTTCAAAACAGTTTATGTTTATGAAAGTGAGAAGTAACCGTACTTTTTATGAATAAAGACTTGAAATAAAGAACAATAACATAATACAAGAACGGAGAAACCGGTCAAGTCGAGTTGGAGGATGCATGGTTAGAGCTATGCCGTTTTACGTCCTCAGCATGCCGCGAGGAGATCATCATACAACGCAAGCACGTAAGTACATTAACATTTTAGGTGGTACCCAACATCAGCGCTGCACTTGATGCACAAAAAGGGCGGGAACCAGTTATTGGTGGTGTGGATTGGCCAGTAGAGGGCGAATAAATTATTGAGTATTGTGCATTTTAATTTGAAACGTGTGGGTTTGGTGAAAATTATGCAAGCGCCTTTCCGAATTCAATGGATTGACTGATTGACAAGTTGCCTTCAAAAATGCTTGTGCTAATTAGACGGATAACAATACATTTGCACGTAGCTGGGGCCCCCAAAATGCTCGTTTTAAACGGAATCTCGTTATGGATTTTTTTCCTCACAGGAATGTGCATAATTCAGTCGGGACCGGCAAATATACTCGTCTTAACCGGAGTCTCGTCTTACCTGAGCTCGTATTACCGAGAGTCGACTGTACACAGAATTCACATCTCCCAAGTGCAACAAACTCTATCAGCACTCTCAATCCATTAGGAATTTACATCACAAATGACGCACTTTCCACTGGCAGTGAGAATCTCGATAATGAGCATTTCCACAGCTTATGTCTTACCACTGGTGATATTTCTGAGATGTATACACACTCAGCGATGGCTGACAGTGAGACTGCAAACCCTACAATCAAGCGTCCAATGATCTGAAAAGAGAATAGTAATAATAATTTATTCATTTATAAAGCACAAATTTCATATTGATATGTTCAAATGCGCTGTACAACGAAGACATTAAGCGTGGAACAATGAATACATTTAAACATGGTTGAGTCGATGGCATACAAGGGTGCCTCAGGCAGCCACCAAACGACCCACATTCACCAACATCAGTAAAGGGGAGACAGTAAGAAGCAGTTACAGTTTTAGAGGTGGGAGGAAAACCCCAGAGGAATATTCTGGCTAAAACCCACGGAGTCACGTAGGGACTGAAAACCCAATCCACATGTGGATCCGGCTGGGAATTGAACCCGGGACCACAGAGGTGGAAGGCAGGGAAAGAACTACCTTGCCAACCTGACTCCCTGAGAAGGATATACAAAAGAGGGACAGAATTTCTATGCCATGTACATGTAGGTTCTGATGTACCACAATCTGACACACTTCAACATCATTACCACTCAACACTGTGCTCTTTGTGCTGCATAAAAATGTTCCAGACAGTGCACATTCAGATGAAATTTGGCCATGTTTAAGTACACACACCAAGAAGTACCTAAGCTGCTTCTGATGAATTGGTTTCCGTGCTACAGATTACAATTTTTCTTGCTAGTTAAAGCCCTAAATGTTTTGTCTGGGAGCACTTGCACTGCTCAGGTAATATGTTTAGCAGATATGGGCTAGCAGCCTCATTGGAGAGTATACTCAGGGACTGGTTCTTGGCTGATTTTGAACAAAAATCACGCTGAGCAATGGTGTCTGCTTCATAAGCTCAATGAAACTGAACCAAGATTAGTCGTAAGTATTGGCGGGTTTAACTTCTGGTTTAATATTCTCCATAGCTTTCCTGATAAGGCTCACTGTTACTGGATGAGCATCACATACCAGCACTTCATACACCGGAGCAAATGCCAATATAACAGCACCAGTCATAAATATGATTGTGTTGAGAATGATGGCCCAGCGACGACCAATCCAATCCACCAAGAAACCTGCAATCAATCAAATTGCAAAGGTAACCATAAAAAATCACACTAACTAGCAATTCCATTAAACGGGTCACCCAAAATCATAAGTTGTATACTTAAATCTCCCTCCCCAAAAAGCAACTAAGTGCCAAGAATGTTGGTTGCATTGAGTACTTTTTGAGAGGTTTAATGCAGAATGTGAATACCACAGAGAGTAGCACATCAGATCAGATCATCTGACAGAGCACCACCTCAAATTGCATGAACAATTGTTGAATTTTATGGCACTTATCAGTCAGCTCCTCACAGTAGTCCAAATGGCGCCCTCGACAGTACTTGCACAGACCCACTGAATTGGTCACTGCCCCCTTTTGGCTCACCTCCTGATAATGCCCCGATGAGTGCACCGACCAGCAGCAGACTGACCACCATCTCTTGCTGTTTGCAGCTCAGCTCAAAGTCTGTCTTCAGCTGAAGCAAGGCACCCGAGACAATTCCTGCTCGAGGTAATCAATCAACTCAGCTAATCAACTAAGCCTTCTAATTCTGCCAAAATATACAACTGTGCCAGAGCCAAATGATGGATACTTTGCAAAGAAACTTTCAAGGGCCACAGAAAGCAGTCCTCATTTCTGCAAAAATTTTCCAAATCCTCCTAGTGGATTTGGAAGGGTGCCAGGGACCTAGGACCAACCATCATCTTTCTCGTTCAATATCCTCGTGACTGTTTAATGCTGTCATTATTTTTCTTCATGGTCCAAGCTCCGAATCAAGTTGACAAAAAAATGAGGAAGAACACCATTAAATTCAGGAATCAGGCAAGGACTGGAGAACCCAATGTACAGGCCTGCACTGAAAGCTGTCAGCTCACCATTCTTTGAAGAACTGCGACTGTGCAAGGACTCTGGGGATAACTTTGAAGAGGATTTTTTTTTAGGCAAAATGAAAATGTCATCATTGCAGACCTTAAGGAACCAAAAATGTTATGGAAATTGGAAAAGTCTATGTGTTATTTTCAACCCTATTTTTATTACGTTGGTAAAACGAGGTTGCTCAATGAGAGACAGAGGAAGCTATTAACATCTACGCAATCTGCAAAGTGCAGTGGCTATTGATACAGAAATTAAGAAAGGTTTCTGTCTACTTTATTTTTGCATCAGTTGGGTACAATGGAAACAGGAACCAGACCACTCTATAATGAATGGACCTCGGACTTCATTTCCCTTAAAAAATTTTTCCAGATGTATGACTTTAAAACAGAAAAGAAAAATATGTATACAAAGTAATCATTTGATCCGAAGGAGAAAATAAAGGAGGAAAAAAGGTGAATAATCATGCCCAAAAGGGATTCGATCCCGGCACCCCATGATCACAGAACAGCATGCGTACCAATTGGGCTATCACAATACCTTGAGCCATGGGAAATTTAAACCTTAGATAGGTTGGCAATTGCCATGCAGAGACTATAGCATTTAGCAGTAGCGTTAGGGTTACCATATAGCCACTTTTGTCTGTGAGCATGATAAAAAGTATAACTGTCCAAACCAAGGGAAAAAGATTACCGATATCATAGCCAAACAAGATGCCTCCAAGAGCAGCCATGGTTGCTGCCAGCACGACAAACTTGGTCGTTCCTGCTGGCTGGTGCTCGGCGGGTGTAAGAGATACCATCTCTTCCCTAACAGCCTCTTCAATTTCCCCCTGCAGCTCAGCCATGGCTCTCTAGTCCTTTGCCTCTCTTCGGAAGGAAAAGTGGAGAAAGCAGGGAAAGAGTTCCATATACAGACAACACTAATTTTCCCTTAATTTTAAATGAATTGTTACAACAGTCGTCAGAAAGTGATAATATGTCCCAAAAAGTGAAATTCAGCAAGGAAAGTTCTGAAGCATTTACTTAGAAAACACTTACGCCTATGCCTAGACTTTTTTCATACAAGTCTCATACTAGTTTGTGCCTAGCCCCACAAGCGTGGCACAGACTCTCACTCCCGCTCCATGGAGCGAGAGAGAGTCGTGCCACGCTAGTTCGTGCCCAGGAGCATCAAGTGTTGTCCGTACATGTATGTGGAACTCCTTCCAAAAGGAGTCATAGGCCTACTCATAACCTTACTCGGATGCTCGGACTGGTTTAGCTAATGTGTTCTGTGATGTGTGAACTAATTGCGCTGCTACTGCTACAGTGCTAGTGTCCGTGGCGCGTCAACGGCAACGCACGTTGCATCAAATGGGCAAACACTCAACTGGAACATAACTATGCATTAAATTCCATCATTTTAACCGATGAAATTAAACATGCTAAACAAGAGCCATCTTACCTACTTCTACATTGCCTTCAGGAGATATATGGGGGAAAATGCGATGACTGATGTAGTGATGAGGTACAGTTCGGTTGCGAATCGGTGTGACGTTCAGATCAGACACCTGTTGGTTGCTTATACAAACCCGTACAATAGTCGGACCCCTCTTAATGTTTACTCCATTTTGCAGTGTGCATTAATGGAGAGACGTTAGGGTTTCGATGCAACATATTAAAGGTGCAGACTGTTCGTGGCTAATTTCTGGAAAGCTAATCCTTTATGCTCCTTAATTAAAGGAAATATGTGGGTATGACCGGTTTGATTTTGCAGAATGTCCTTTCAGAAAACTCATCTAGATTTGTTTGGTTACAGCATAAAAAATTAAATTGTCTGGACTCAAACTGGGCAAATGTGACTTATTACCTAGCAATGGTTTCAGTTGTTCCAGGCTTAACCTGTCCACGTAAAGAAACCATTTCCTTGGATTATGGTTTCGACGTGCAGATGTTCCAATTTAAAACTAAGTGAACCTTCTCCTTCTTCTAAGGTGTCACATTTCTTTTTAAGTCAACCCATCACATTGAACACCACTGATAATGATATTCTGAATTTCTTCCCATTTGTCTGTACTACGATGGGGAGGAGGGGTTATAGAAACCAAAGTAGGCGGGGTCTCTCCCTTTTGGTTCCCTCAACCACTGTTGGTTGCCAAGTTTTGCAAAGTTATGAGGATCAAATCCACATTTCCAATTTAGAAAAAACATAACTATGTAAAATTAAGAAACCTGTGGTAGATAACGTCATAGCTTTTTGCCACTTTTCCCCACGACCTCTAGATGTTATCTAGACAGTCTGGTACTTTCTATACCGAGAGCTCTGCTAATGTTACTTTCCCCCACAATATGCCACAGTTTCAAAAACAATACACAACAATTCCTTTCTTTTGTTTATTTACTAGAAATCCATCTCATGATCACACACATGATGATGATATACAGATAATATTTACGTCCACCTGGACCCCCAATAATCAGTGCGTTATAACCATACATACCAAATAAGGAACCACTGGTTCAATTTACATTTTATAAAACCACACCAGTCTTTAAAAAAATTTAATTACTGTAATGTACTGTTTTGATTTTACAATAAATATTAAAGTATGACAGGTGACGGTGCTGGACTGGTTTGCTGTGATATGTGGTGTATGGTAAATTTTCAATGTGTAATTTGCAAGTACAGCTATTATCACAGTAGCATACAGGATGTCCAAGGAAGGAAAAAAAAAGGGAAAACAGCAATATTGGGGTGAAACAGAGTAAGCTAAACTTATCTTCTTCCATGTAGTACTGACAAATTTGTTCTTTGGGTTACGCATGACTAATCTGCGACAATCAGAACTGGTGATGGTTAAATTGGCTTGGATTAACAATACAACAGTCAGCGTCAAGAGAGGTTTGTTAAAAATCAACTCTGTTTTCAATTTCTGCCTAAATTTTTCATGAGAATTTAGCTCAAACTTCGCTGAATAAACTGAGCAAATTTAAGCACATTCCCCCAGCTTATGTACTTAAAATTTCATCCCCCCAAATCCTGGTTTTACTTTTCTGAGGACACCCTGTATAACACGGTCTAACGTTTTGCACTCCCCCCCAGGAAATCTGTATGTTCCTTGAAAAAGACCCCAATGGAAATAAAAATACCTTGTACATACATGCGTATTCTGTATGTGTACACACACAGTTATGTACTGAAATGTTAGGCAATGTTCACAAATTAATAAAAGTTATAAAGTGTGCTGAAACCATTTATGCCACGTAAAATACAAGTCTAATACTATAAAACATACAACACATAATCAATGCAAACAAATTTATTTAAGGCAATGTGCATACTGTGGGGGTTTAAAGAACTTAACTTACTAGAACTTTTCTCTCTCCAAAGGAAAATGGCAAAAAGACGGGGAAAAAAAAGAAATATACAAGCCTTCTTCTCTAATGTATGTAATTCTCCTTTTCACCGTATACATGTAGTACAACTTGACTAATAGGCTTACACCTCCTTTCATATTACACTCAGGTGATTTGCACAGACTATTTTGAGGAGTAAATGTATTTTTACTTGAGTCAAGATACATCTTGAAAGGGATTTTAGTAATCTCAATTTTGTAAACATGTCACAAGATTCGGTACATTAATTATAAAGCAATTGTCAACATTTGGTAAATCATTTGTCCAATCAAGTGCAATCACTTTTATTCATTTCCATTTCCAAAGCAACATTAGTAACATTGGCACTTCTCAAAAAATATTAACACATATTTACACAACCATCTTAATTCTCTGTACAGTATATTTTTTTAAATAGGTATTTCATCTTTTGTGAGCTGATATCTAGTTTTGGGGGAAAAATCAAATCAATAAGTACTTCAGTGTAAATGTACAATGCACATAACAAAGTGCTTACTATTCTTGTGAACATTAAAAACCAAATAAGAAAATCGTATTGCCTGTACTATAGTAGTTTAACCTATTGCAGTGAAGGCAGCCCCAAATTGAAGAAACAAAATGAGTCACACATCGCCAGAGCAACTTTTGAGTTAAAGGCCTTCAAAACCTGTCCATTCTCATCAGGATGTGATCCCACACAAGGCCTGCAGGCTGCATTTATAATTATCTCAACCAAAGAAATGCAACTCATATGTACTAATTCTGCAAGGAAGATCTTAGAAATTCTACTCAAAACGCAAGAATCATATAGATACCTCTTTGCAAAATGCAGAAACTTTTCGATTTTTTTTGTGGAAAAATGAATTGAGGATAGGCACATTTGTCTTTATATCTACCTGTACATGTACATGAAAATAACATTGGTATGTAAGTACAGAACTCGCTCTTTATTCATTTGTACAAAAAAGTAGCAATATTAAATACATCTTCAGCTTGAGTACCTCTGTCATCAAAAAACATACAATCAAAAACTCAACGCTCTGAGCACTGACTTCTGCCATAAGGCAGAAGCAAGCATTTTAAATTGTGCAGCAATAAATAATGCCAAAGGATGAACACAAAACAACTTCTCCAGCAAAATGTGCAGAACACAGGATCTTTACTTGCACGCTCATTGTTTAATATCTCTCTCCCCACTTTTTCTTAGGGCAAGTTTGAGCGATGACTACCGTCAATCATCATTGGACAAAAATCGCTCGAACAATGGATGGTTGGGGCAACGCAGGGCCTGGTTCACACCAATGATTATCAGTGGCCACTTTCATTTGATAAGTATGGAGGAAACCATTCACAGGAAATGTCATGGAGCACGAATGCCATGAAAATTGTGGCCAAAGTGTAAGTGACAATGAGATTTTGACAAAATAGTCCGGATAGGGTCGTTAGAATGTGGCTGTATTGCATGTGCATGTTGTCAAAAAGCAATCCATCAGTGGTTGAACTACAGTCTGTGCCAGAACTTGCCCCTATCTTCAAAACAACATGCGGCATGGCAATACTTTTGTGCGGTATACAAGTTTGTCTATTTTTTGAGTTATGTACATGTACGGTTTCAGTACTCTCTCAAAACTGTAATACTAGGATATAATATACTAATGTGATCCCCCACCTCCAAACTGCCATTATCTGAAATTATTCCACAAAATTCATACACTAGCCACTGGCTATCTGAGATTTATATCTTGTGACTGAGTTTTCAGTAGACTTAAAAGACAAAGAAGACATCAATTGCATGCTATGTGTACATCAAACTTCTGAACTTAACTCACGTGTCGCTACTAACATACTGGTGATTATGGCTGCGTCCGATATTATTTCCCTTGGCTTGGAATTGCCCACAAGTCTGTAGTTCGGGCTGCAGCCACTTCTCATAGAGTGATGCACAATTTAAGGCTGCAACCCAAAAATTTGGACACAGCCTAACAACCATCCTTTTCTGCTGACCTCCAATGCCAACGACCGTCCTCCGCATCAGAGGTTGCCAGAACAAGGCTGCCATTATATAACATTTAGACTGGCTGATTTATGAACAAGCAATTTTGACAACTTTGGTCAGATCAGTAATAATCTGCATCAGAATGTCATTACTGTTCTACAGAATGGAAGATTTTGGAGAACTGAAGGAAGGCTCCTGACAGAGAGAGGGGATAAGGATAGTTACCCAGTTACGATCTTAAGGTGAAGCTATGTTACAAAGACACTTATTGCAATCCATTTCAAGAAAATCATGAGAGCTAAGAGGAGGTCCTAGTTGTCTCCAGCCATCATACCTCCTGGGCTCTCAGCCTTGCCGTGTCCACGGCGTCCAGCAGGTTCTTGGCGTCCACGGCCAGAATGTGGCCAGCTGACAGCATGCCTTTCTTGTAGTCCTGGTCCAGGGTGGTGGTGGCGTACTTCTGGGCCAGCTTCATGGCGTTGATCAGCTCGGCCATGTCCGAGCTCAGCACCTTGTGGGCCATCTGGATGCTGCGGTGGGTCTGCGGGGGCAGGGAACTGTACAGGCCGTCCACGCTGGCCAGGAGGTTCTTGAGGGACAGGCCCACGTCCTGGAATATGAAACAACACAAGATTATTAAGGGAAGCACCGGGACAAAATATTCTAAAGAGAAGACAGATTTTTTAATGAATTAGCTGTGTTCAACTCAAACACAAAAAGCAAACACTGCAGACTATTTTCCACTGAAAATAACGGCTGGAGTCGAGTCTATCATAATTCCCAACAAGCCCCCGCAAGTCCATCATAAGTCACTCCAAAATTGAAGTCATCTCTAGCTGCGAATTTATTCCTCTCCTGAATTTTCAACACTCCGACACCGTTTTGTATGCACAATGAATATGGAACAGTACAGACCAGCCGACCATACTTTACATGGGGCTTGATGCCTGAATGGGCTCAGAAATTTCAATGAAGTCAAGATTCTTTGCACAAATCCCCAGAGAGATGCTCCGATTTCAACATGCATTGCACCCCTACTTCATTTCTCGATGCAATCTGACGGTCACAACTTGGGTATATTGGTCCCAAGTCTGTCCAGATGGTCAGGCAACCGATCTTACTGCACCCATCTCAACAGCTGGGCGTACCTTGACTAGGTTGACGTACTGGTCCGACCGGACAGCGTGCACCATGTTGACCATCTCCATGACGGCCCGCACTACCTGAGTTGTGTTCTCAAATACCTCATCGTTGGTTCGGTCAAGGTCCATGGTGGGTCCAACCTGGTGAAAAGGCACAGAACAAATGCGAAACTGTGGAAGTGAAAGGCAGGATAATGTGCTTGGTATAGAACATGAGCCGCTCCAGTCAAAACTGCCTCAGGTAAATTCAACTTCTCTACTAGGCTCTATTAATTCAACTGGAACACGTGTCAAAATGCCACATTATTGTTGGCCTTGCTGCAGTAACTCTAACCAACATCAGTTACCCCTGGTGTCACCAAAACCTCAAACCAGGGGCCTGACAAAAGCTGATTGAATATCTACAAGGTTCTTCAGATCAACGATGTTGGATTACACTGCTTGCCCCAACCAAGAACTATGCCAGTTTGAAACTTGACACTGCCGTGAATTTGAACCTACCACAAATATCAAAATCTCGGCGTGAAGAGGTCCCCTTTAAGTAGCTGCCTGGAGCAGGGCAAGCACATTGCTAGACCAGCAGTGATGAATTGAGCTCCTATTCCTGCATGGCAGGCCGTTATCAATTCATCTTTTTTAGATGCCAAATTTTTTCCCCCATATTTTCAAAAACATCAAACTGTTCAGATTCATTAGAAATGCGTCGTTTACTGGGACCCTCTAGACTGTTTCATGTACCTGCACAGTTGTGGGGGGTGCCTGAGATTCTTCAGCCCTGGGAGGTTCTGGAGGCTTGGGGGGCTCAGCCACAGGCTTGCGGCAATCTTGAAAGATATGAAACAAGGAATGAATGATAAATCTCTACCTGCCGCTTGAACTTTGTACAACAGGGTTGAGACCAAACCACCATGAAAAATCCAAGAACTTCAGTTGGTATTATGTACATGTACGTATATAAACACGATGAATGGCATGCACATTTCACTGCATTAACATATGCATCTATGCGTATTATGTACTTTATGCATGATACTGAAGATGTTCCTCATGCACAAGGAAGGAGTTCGTTGTTTTTGCCTTTGAGAAAGATTCTGCTAGGATCCAAACGTCGTTCCCTCCTTATTTTGTGATTTGTATTTTAGGTCACTGTAGTCACGTCAGCAAGCAGTTTGGAGTAGTTTGGTATGACATAAATTCCATGTTTAAAAAGAAATTCAAATTATTACACATTGTTTACAACATACTTAGTCCTTTATGCCTCTGACGTCATACTTCAACGACTTATCAAACTATGAACATTTGCAGTGTCCAATCAGAGGAAATCTAATATATCGTCTTCCCTTTCCACTTTCGTCACTTCACCATGTTCACAATCCATGTCCATCTCCAAACATGAAAATCTCCACAGATTTTTGGCACCTTTTATTAACAGATAGGTCCCCCATCTCAATCAACAATTTGACATGCCATTATGCCAAATTATTGAGAGTCATGTGTATGCGGTGAAACATCCCCCAAATCAACCAATATCTCTCTAGAAAGCCACACCGAATCCACCGCATGTACGCAGAGGGAGTAGCATCAGTTTGTGCACTTCTTAATTGCCTGTACTAGACTTCACTACACTTCAAGTCGCGCATGAACATTCATTCGCAAATAATTCCGTCAAAAGTATCAGTAAACCAACACTGGAAGTTAGAAAAATCCGGAGGAATCTCACCCCTGGTATAAGCCGAAAATGCCTCTTCAAACTTTGATTTAGCGAACCATAGTTACCTAACAGTTCAATAAAGCTGTTGACGACACAAAAGTCACTATGACCATGTCAATATGCTGCTCTCGGCTTTTACCGGGAGCTCCTTGAACTGTTTCTATGCACACTCTCACCTTAGATACATTAAAACTTCTCACTCACCGGCTGGTTGCGTGTACGAGCTAGGCCGATTAAAAGGTTGGTACAGAGGTTGATGACTGGCCAAAGTGTTGGTCTGTGAAACCAAACAGCAATACACTAATGACATCTGCCTGAATATTCGATGACACATTGTATTTTGCAGAAGAGGTGGTGTTGAACTGAACTCTTTTGTGATGAGGAAAGGGTTCGAACACTTTTGATGGACCCTTTTTCTATCCTTTTTCTTACCATAGAAGTATAGTTTCTTCATAATTCTGTACATTAATATGTACAAATACTGTTTCTAAGATCCCTGAATGCTGTACTCAGCACAGCACAGACAATTAGATTAACCACTTGCTGCCGGGTTTAATTTTGAAGTTGCATGACGTAAAACTGAGGGATTTTCCATTTTCCAAATTCTTCAAAGCATCATTAGTACATTTATTGGACGTTTACACCCACACGAATGACTTTCTACTGGCTACTCTAATCTAAACAGACGACATCCATTGTATTTCAGCCAGGACTGCCGCCTGGTAAAAAGAGCCCAGATTGTGCGGTATTAAATAAGTTTCTTTGGTTCCCAAAACTGGCACAGTGCGCGGCTGGCGTCTTTTCAATGGGGGTCAGATTAGCCTGCTGCGGTATTGTATTGCTCATCACTGGAGCGCTTTTGTCCCTGGTGGTAATTCGCTCACGCTGAATGCCACAAACAGTGATATAATGTGTCAAAACGATGACGGATTTCCTCCGCTATTGACAACTGGAAAATGTTGGTAATCCCAGCAGCTCGGTCATTTGTTCCGAGTATGGTCTTTTGCTATAAGGCCCAGCTCTTTCATCTGGTTTCAGGCTCCCCAGCTCCGTGTGTAAAGCCTATGTGCCCGAAACCCGGCACCCCGGCAGGAAATGGTTAATCAATTTTATTCCTACAATTCTTCACCAACCTCCTCTCTGGTATCATGACCGGTCAAGTCGTTTTCTTTCACATCAGGCCTCTGAAGATAAACAAAAGACTTTTTATAAGGTAATATTGTCATTCAAAGGTTCACTTTGAGTAACTGAAATACTCAAATTTGTGACTTGAGTTTCCGCAAAGAAAGAATTTCAATTCAGAGCTTATCATTCAAGTTATCATTTATCAAGTTAACATTCCAACCCTGCTTTACATAAGAGGGCGCAACATGGTCAAATACTGATGTATTGTTGGATTTTGCACTTAATGCAGGAAGTAGGGAATAGTGTGACTGCACAGCACCACAACTAGAGCTTATCCAGTGCAATTGAACTGCTCAGTGCCAACAAATCCACCGATGCATTCTGTTGCGTTTAGCTGGATTTTCTAACAAAAACCACCTTGGAGTTAGACTTTTACTATCCTGATCTGACACTGCCGGCAGTGCTCACACATTTTTAAGGTCATCAAGTCAACAAACACCATGACACTCCAATTAGGATCACATTTCAAAATGAATAAGCGCAAGAATGAAAGAATGTGACTCATTAACTTTTTTTTACTGTAACAGTCACAGACGGTCAAAAATTCCTTCCACATAGAGGTCATTTGACTGATTTTGACTGATAGGACAACTTTGTCTAGAATGCATCTTTACATCAATGCAACTCCTTTACAACTCTTACACTGCTCCAACCAACTCCTACTATTGCTGAAATCTTTAAGGCTGCAGTCCTGATGCAGAATTCTGACATGAAAGAACTGGATGTGCTGCTGGGTTCTTCAAATTGACCTGTGAACTCTGCCAGTCACTGGTCCTCCGTCCTCATGTACTCACCAGTCCTTGTGCACTGGTTGCCAGCCATTTGGAGTCGGCCTCGCTGTCCAGCCGCTGCTGCCTCATCTTGTCCTCTATTCTCTGCATCTCGCTCAGTTTCATCTCCTCCTGACGCTCAAGATGTTCCCTTTCCATCTCCAGTCGTTCCTTGAAAGTAGAGGAATGAATATCAATTTAAAGTTGGCTTGTGACTTGGTTTCTGCTGAGACAACCTTTTTTCTGTGTACTTCTGTGGAAACAGATCCTGCCTGCCTGCGGCCAGTTTAGGTGGCCTCGATTCCAAAAATCCAAGACCTCCCCGAAACGGACAAGGTGACCAAAACCACGACTTGTACAATCTAACAGACTACCCACTACAAATTCAAGACCAAATTATTTTCACTTGTCCTCAGCTCAGTATGTGTAGATCTCACAGCCACATTGGCTGCCATTTCTTTTAGTGGCTTGTGGCCAACATGTATGTGGGTGGCCTTTATTTGTACTAGTGGCTGCACAGTGGTTGGTGTGGTTGACCAAAATACAAAACCAATGCATCTCGGTACTTGCTTAAGCTCGTGTGTGTGTCATGGCCACAAAGGCTGTCACTTCATCAAGTGGCTTGTGGCCAATGTAAGTGGCCTCAATCTGACAAACTAACTGAAGTACAAGATCCAGTCCTCATACAGACAGTGCAGGTAATGCTAGCCATAATGGCCGTCATTTCATCTGGAGGGCCTTTGTAAGTGGCCTGGATCTACTGTAATGGAGACCAGCCAAAAAGCCAACACTGACAAACTGACAAGAGCAAATATTCTCAGCTACTCACCTCCGCTGTCACAGGCCTGATGGCCATCATGGCTGCCATCTCCTCCGGTGGCTTGTGGCCCATATAGGGGCCTTTGATAGTATTGGTGGCCGCGTAGTGGTTGGCCGTGGCCTCGTACACTGTGGCTGGCTGGTAGCTGCTGGGCCCGGGGTAGGTTGGGAAACCTGGTCTTGAAGGCTGTCAAGAGAACAACGTCGATGAGAAGTTAGTTTAGAAGCTGATTAACCATTTCACAGTAAAGGATATTTCAATGGGCAATGAGTTTCCAAGGTCAGATGTGTAAACATGAGGTTGTGTAAACATTATCTCACAATGAAAATTCTCAGCGGCAGTTGACAGGTTAAACTGTTATGTTTCAGCAGTTCCTACTGGATTTTTACACACATACATACGCACAATATCAATTTAGTCCATGGAAGAACAAGTGCTGTACCTGCCTTGGCCAGCTGTATATGGTCTCAATCATAGCAAATATTAATTTGGCCGTGGGGGGTTAAAGATGAGATTAAGGTGAAAAACACTGCACAACGACGATACAAAAGACTCTTAAAGAGTCAGTATTGGTAGTATTTAACTTCATAATAAAACTTTCATCAAAAATCATATATTTCAGTCCAAACATCTTGACATCTTGGACTGGCCTGTAGTGAAATAATCCCAGCATGAAGTGTTCGAATTATCACGGCCAATAACAGTTACCAATGGCCAACGCAACCCAGCAATGGCTCTGGAGTTGTCATGCGACTGGAGTGTCTGCTCACCTTTGGTGGTGGTTCTTCAGTATGCTCGGTGACAGGGAAGCCCCAGGTGGATGCCACCCGCCGTCTCTCCTGCTTCATCAACGATTCCTGCTGCTCCACTTCCTCGTCCTGAATTTCACTGCAAAAAGAGACGGTCAAAAGGTCGTGTCAGCTACCATCCTTAAACTTCATCAGAGTCATCAGAAATGTTTCCCACTCGCACACTGGTACCAGCAAAACGGTTGCATACAAATGTGATAGTCCATCACCACTGTGGACTCTTTACAGATTTCCATCCACTGGACACTTACTCATTACCTTTCCAACATATTGGGTCATAGTGGTAGTATCATTATTAAGTTATCCATTCATGTTATTTCTGCCTTTTGCAATGGGACGAGGGACCAGGGTAAGTGCTGCCAAGTATTTCCGGCCTGCACTTTGGTAAACACTTCTCTATGTCCAGAAAAACCCATGCTTGTAGTTGCCAGGACGTTTGACATGGGCCCAAGAAATCAGCAGGATGGATAAGTGATGTTTTGGCAAGAATGCGAGCTGTGGGGTAGCCATGCATTTCACGAGACACCCACTCGTGGGAGGAAGTCCCTAAACCTAGATTACTGCTCAAGGGCCCAAAGACTTGGAGGAAGTGAAACAAGCATTGTTTGAGATGGCTCTGATGGGTTGCCGGCTGAATTCTATGGTAGGTTTTTTCAATGCTTTGGGTTCAGGTTTGTTTTCTGTCATCCAGTGGGCATTCAACGGCAGTCTTTTTGATTCCAGTCAGCCGGAGGCCTCTTCTCACTGCTCTTCAGAGGCAAGGGCTGTCAACCAACTGGAAGCCAATTTAAGTGCTTAATGCAGGCTACAAAGTCACAGCTCAAATGCTTCCTAGCATTTGAGCAGTAAGCAGTGGGGTGCACTATCTCCAACAATACCCACCTCCTCCACGATAATTATTCAACACTTCATCTACCAAAAGAACATGGGTGCTGTTTTCATTTTGCTTTACCAACTAAAGTGTTTGGGCTGACTGCAATTTTCTTCAAAACACGCTCAAGAGTTTTGGCTTTGGTCCCAATTTCTGGAGATAGGTTGAAATTCTCCACAGACAAGTCTCGGGATTGTTGTTCTCTACCTTCTCCAAACTTCTTCAACCGCTTTAGTTAATGGTGAATATAACTGACGTGATGCCCAACGGCAAAAACCAAGTGGTTCCCACAATCACCAAAATAGCATTCAACTGACACACACACAAATCTTAAGAATTCAGTGCAAATGAGAAATTTTGCATCATGCTACTCCGCAGAAAATCTGGCAACTTACTGTAGTCTCAACTTGAGATCCTGGAAAGTCGGTCTCTTTGATGGTTCATACGACCAACAGAGAGTCATAACGCTGTAGAGGGTTGGTGGGCAGCCTGCTGGCATGGGCAACCGCTCGCCATTCTCAATCCGGCCGATAACGTCATTGTTTTTCACCCCCTGGAACGGCTTGACACCATACATGAGAATCTCCCACATGCACACCCCTGGAAAATGGAACAGCCAAGTCTAACACCCACATATTGACCTATTATTTTCTGATTAAACAAATAAAGACAAGTATTCAGACACAAGAGCACTCCTGTTTTTGTTGAATTAATTAACTGAAATAAGAACAGAAAAGCTCTCTTTTCTTGATTTTTAAATGCAAGCAACTCAAACAATTTTTAGGTAATCTGAGACAAACCACTCACCAAACATCCAAACATCACTCGCTGATGTAAACCTCTTGAAGTTGATTGATTCTGGTGCCATCCACTTGATGGGCAGTTTTCCTTTAGAGGCTATCATTACAAAAAAAAAAAGTGGGATAAATCAAGTTTTACAAGAAAGATCGAATGGGATTGGGGGAAAGAATTCTGTTTAAAGATGTTCCTAACTTTTCAATTTTGCTAAGCATGGAAAAACTTTCCCAGCTCAAACAGATCACCGGTAGGCGCACCCAATCATGTCAATGCATATGTATAAGTACATGTATACTGTATTGTGACTGTCCACTCAGCTGATTTTGGCTTAGTGTAATGAACTTAAAAGTGCTAAGCAAATTTTCCTGCTATGAAACTGGAAAGAAATTAGACTGGGGACTTGAGCTCATTCTTTGATTCAATCCTCAGTTTAATTCAGTTGAAGTCAGCTGCATTTACAGTTGAGGTTGTCCAGATAACTAAGAACTCTGGAAACTATTTAATTCAATGCCAGCCAAGTTGACCAAATAATGTGGTGCAAAATTATCAATATATGCAGGTCGCAATACGTACTTGGTCTGAATGATTCTTATGACATAAAAATAACTTGAAGCAATGTACTCATTAAGTATTTTGTAGAGGTTTGCGGTAGTACCATGCAAGAATATCTCTTTCTAAGTATGTGTAATTCTGAAAAGAACCGGAGAGTACTCAACGTTTCGGACAGTATACTCTCTCCTTCACCTTGAAAAGCCTCCAAGCTCAATAACTCATTCCTAGGATCTCACCTTTGTAGTATGAATGATCGTGGAGCAATCTGGACAGACCAAAATCACCCAACTTCACGTTATCTTTGGCAACAACTAGTACATTCCTGGCAGCTATATCCCTACAAAGCAATAATGAAGATGTTGAAACCTAATTAACATTATTGCACTGCTTGGGAAAACAATTTCGGGTTGTGAATTATAGAGTTGCATGCAGGTTTGGTGATGATTCTTTGCTGGACAGAACAGTGGTCTGGTGGAGTTGAATAATTTTTTGGATGACGTAGTTGTCATTTTTCACATTTTGGTAGTACCTACATTTGTGTGTAATTTCTGATCGCATTTGATTTGAAATGTATCTTTTCCTTGTTTTGGTGCATTTTACAATGGCGAAAAACATGAATAACTCTAAAAGAAAAAAGGAAGGGGGTCTTCATAGCAAAATAGTCAAAAACTGGACAAAATGCGATTTTCCATTGACATGCTTTACCTGTGTACAAATTTCTTGCTCTCCAGATAGGAGAGTGCAGTACTGAGTTGGTAACAATACAAAATAAGGTCAGACAGACACAGCTCTGAGAGATGTTCTTGGAGAAACGTTCGCATCTGATAAAAAAAGTGAAAATATTACGTAAGTTTACTGCTGTATGAGGTACAGTTGGAATGTCTGCTTTGCTGCGGAAAAAATGGAACAATTTAACTCATAGTTGTCCAAATCAAGGTGCTAAGTGACTACCGGACAGTGTTTTTGATTTCAATTGCTGACTAGGATCAGAGTCACACTAGAAAATTGATCTGACTAGGAGACTTGAGTGGGAAGAAATTACTTATTACTTGACAACTTGGGAAAAAGTGACTCACGCTTGACTTGAAGAAAAAATGACTTGCAACTCTGCCTGGGAAAAAAATAACTTGTGCGTCGACTTTAACTTGGCTTGCAGAGAATGCCTTGGTTACCACTTTGCCAAAGGGTAAAAATGAGCTGGTAAACACAATGCAAAACGCCACACAGTCACCTCACAATCAGGTGACAGGTACTGGCGGGTACTTAAGTATTATATCCGGTGCTTATTCATGAGAGCAGATGCAGATCGTACCTCCCCAAACGGTGCCAACTCCATGACAATCCAGATGGGTGGCTCCGTGCACACACCAATCAGCTTGATGATGTGAGGGTGATCAAACTGCTTCATGATATCTGAGCATGATAACAATACACACCCTTAACATACTCTGAATTTGAAAAAACGTGATCATCTTGCATGCAAGCACACAGTACAGTCTTTCATCTTTAGGTAGAATGCAATGCAATTTGTAAAGCACTTGTTAAAACTCTTAATCATTGGCTAGCTGATGCATCAAGTTGGAATAGAATTCAGCAAACAGAGTGCTGACACATCGGGTGACCATACTGGTATAATACATACTTATAATTACACAAAACCCATCTTTAATAAAGACCTTAAGCTACAACATCCTGTCACAAGTCATGCTTCCCTCAAAGTATTAAAAGTAAACAATAGTGACACCCGCTTAAGAAAATCCAATGCAAGTTCTTTTCCACATTTCCCAATGAAAACCTGTCAATACCATGAGAGTAGAGTAAAGTTAGTTTGATATTGGACATTGGACATTCCCATTGGTTTGTACAGCGAATGTCTGATTTTTCTTGACACAGTGGACATTCCCACAGGATTGTACAGGGAATGTCTGATTTCCAATGTCTAGAAAATCAGACATTCCCTGTACACACCTATGGGAATGTCCAATATCAAACTAACTTTACTGTCAGGTCAAAACCTTTCTTTTTTCATAGTATGAAGAGCTACAAATTAATTTGTCAAGTTTGGTGTTGGTAACTGGTCTTATTACTTGAATTCAGCCCCTAAATGTAACAGTCGGGCAACCACTGCATTGCCTTCAGGTACACTTCAGATGTACATGTTATTGGTGTAACCATTCATGGAATTGCAACTAGCTCAGTCCACAAATGAAAACCTGTTTTCCCTAAACTTACATGCTTCCTCAAGAAACTTTTCTCCCAGCGTTTCTGTGCTCTCCACTTTACACGTTTTGATGGCAACTTCAATTGGGTTCCCATCCTGAAAACAAGTTAATCAAGATTCAACTCTACCTTTCTCTTTTTGAAAAGCACCGAGACGATGATTAAAACAATGAACAATAACAAACAGGGAGGGAGCAAAATACGCAGAAACCTATGCAATAAAAGGCTTTGACAATATGCTCAAGTAGTTGAACCACTCTCTACAATTTTACTCACCTCATCTTTGTAGGCACCTTTATGCACGTCTCCAAACTGCCCCTCACCTATGGTAGCAATCAGTGCGACCTGGTCCCGGGGAATCTCATAGTCCTTGGTAGCAGGTAGGGCATAGTCGTCGTCCTCTATGATCTCGGCATAGTCGTCAGAGAGGGCTGGGTACCAGAGAAATGAGCAGTAGGAACTGGTTAATGACAGGTCATTCTCTGTTCAAGTTGGACTACCAATGCGTCTTAAGATGGGGCCATCAATAACAGGAATTCTGCACGTGTACAGGCCTGAACTTCAGGAAACTGCATGGTAGAACTCAGCTGATTCATATTGAGTGTGAACATGCTGAGTCCAAACAGACAGTCACTGACATTTGAAATTTGGCGGTTAATCTGTCTCAGTTAAAAAAGCTAATCTTTTCCATATTAACTGAACTGTGCAAAATGCACCCCAGTGCCAGGTTTTCTACTGCAAACATTAATTGTTGCACTTTATCAAAGTTACTATGTCTGCTAATGACCTCAATTATTCACAAAGTGTCGGAGAGAGTAATCCAGTTCTCACAGCCGGTACACATTTTCCAAACAAGCATTTTTTAACAAAGTATGTTGACTTAAGCCTGTCTTATGAACCACGACCTTGACAGCTCCAAAGCCACAAATATCCAACAAACTTGGGTCAGCAGTGTTTTGCTGTGTTCTGCAATGCAGACACTATAGATTCATATGGGGCTTAATGTAGAAGTTTTACTTTTAGTAAAAAATAAAAATGCGTGAGGTATGGATATGCAATGCTGTGAGATCAAAAGTCAACAGAATAGTTGAGCATGCCGCTCATTTCCTGCACAGATTACAAAAACTTTGGAATGCTCCCAAGGAAGTGTCCAGAAAGTTAGGATAAAAAAACCATGTAAAGTGCCTATTTCAAGTTAGTTTCAAAGATATAAATCAGTTGCCCACCTCCTGCAAGTTATCTGAATTTTTTACCTGACTGTGTGATGTGTTTCCTCCTGCTGGTGCTGACTTTGACTTCTGTGTAGTTCTCCACGCTTTCCTCCCTGGCAAAAACAAGCACGGGACCAACATGTAATAATGTGAGAGCAGGAAATGCTTTCGAAGGGTTACTTTTAAGCAACCCCCTCCTCTGACAAAGAATTTAATGAATGGGATGAAACACCAACACACGGCTGGATAACTCATTTTCATAGAGTAGCAAATATGGTATTCACAGGTTCAAATCTCACTCCAGTCCATTTCTCTGTGAAGTCTCAACAGAGTCTGACAGTGTCACCAGGAGAATGGTTCTGGGACTAAACTACTCCAGTGACAGGCAAAGATTTTACCTGCTCAGTCTAGGAAAAAGAGAGGATGTGCTTTTACATACACATGAAGCAACAATAGACCTTTGGTGGGGACTCACCATATGAGCACCCAGGTTGAGCACATTCAGTGCGGGATGCTCTGAACATGGAGATGTACAACCAATGCATGTTGGAATGCAAAATCTTTGTTTGAGCGCTGGGAGCCCAGATGAAACATCTCCGCCATCCTGACTTTTCTTTGCAAGTTCCCACTGAGTGAGCAGGTGCTCACAGACCAGGAACAGGTAACCGCAGACACTCATTTCCATTTGATCATCTCTCAACCTTGAACACTCATCCTGCGTTTCCAAAAAATAAAAGCCTCTGCCTGCACACTTACCCCAACAAGCTATTTCCATTCTCTCTTTTTATTGTTTCCACTTTTTCTTCCTCTGCGAGCAGAGTCACATCAAATTCAACAACGTCCAATATGATCCATTCCATATCCTCATGCAGGCAGCTCAGATCCAGGTCAAAAAAATCCACCACAACCCAAGCCATACCGCTTCCAAAGAAGACACAAATCAAGCCAAGCGAAGAAAATGGACAAGTGTTCTGAAACGTTCTCCAAAGGCTGAAGCTACGTCACCACACACTGAGGTGAAAGCACAAGCAATGAAGAGTTTTCAGTTGTCATCAGCTGCGTGTACCACTTACAACAGCCAGACTGTTATGAGGATGCCAGTAAAAATAATGGTGTGACCACAAAGTTACGGTTCCTACACAAAAGTGTTTGACGACACCGACAACTTCTGTCAAACCAAACTTAGCCATGATTCAGCAGGTAAGTTGTCACGACTCACTTCAAAAAGGTGTTTCCCAACGGGGACCAGGCCGGGCCGGCCATGATTCACAGAAGATGGGCCAGGCCTGCTTGTGCTCCATCAACAGGCTGGGGCCTGAATGACTCATGCCATGAGGCCCGGGTTGGTAAACTATGACAATGCTGACCACAAGGGTATTGCTTGTTGGGAGCCAAACTGAAAATAGGCTCCCCATGGGCATCATCGTCTCTGTGCATCAACTGGATTGACCACACAGGAAATGCATCCAAATTAAGGATAGAGGTACATGTATTCATGTACATGTATAGAACTGAAAAACACTGAGAGAGTAAACAGGGGACCAGACTTATCAACAGCCAAACAAGCAAGGTAACTTTTACCACACAAGAAAATACAGCACATTTTAGATGAGCAAGTACATGTACACTGTCCAAACAGGAAATTATTTTAATTTTGAACTTAACAAATATCTATGGTACAAAATCATTCCAAGGAGTAGCCGGAAAGCCATAACATTTGCAGAGAAATCTTTGAAAAATTACAAATTGAATTGAAAAACTTGAAATATTGTGAAGAGAAAAATGGACACTCTGTAGAAAACAATGCACTGAAGAATTTCCAACATTTCTGTCAATTCACTGTCGGTGCCATTATGGATATACCGTAAATGAACGTCCCAACTGATTTCAGTGACGTCAACTTGTAATGAATACATTCTAAGTAGGCACGGCTGCTGTATGTAATCCGTTATAGACATAACCCACATTACACAGTGTTTTGATATGACTGGCCCAATTTCCTTTACTTACGGATTCCAAGCCAGTGGCTAGATCCTTAGCAACTCAACAACCCTCATGACCTAATACCCGGACGTTACAGGATGTGACCCATATCTACCAATCATGGCCACATCAATGTATACAGTAGCTAGGCTTTCTTGTTGTGATAGTCCGTAGCACTGTTTCTCCTACACTCCACAGAATGAACACATGCATCTACTTGTAGACAGAGTACTACGCACACGTCGTGATCACTAGCAAATTTATGAAGGAACTTATCAAACTAACCAAAACCAGTGATAAGTTAACTCATGCGTACAGAAAGACAATCTCGGGTGAAGGAACCAACAAATCATACCAGACACTGTTTCTTTGCCCAAGCCCCTTTTCCTTGGTCTTCCAAAAAGAAAAGTGCACTCACAGGCTCTAAACTAGATATGGTCACCTTTATGAAGGAACCAGTCACGTGTGGACCTCTTCAGTTACTCCAAGAGCATTCACCAATTCTTCAATTTTTCCTGTTCAAATGTTAAAACCCTATCCTGGCAGCCAAAAGGCAAATTTCACAAATGAGCTAAGCAAAAATGCCAAGCTCACTTCTGTAATGACTTTCAAACAGGTGATGCAATTCAGTCTTCAACAAACTCTTTAACCTTAACGGGTGCATGTATGTGAAATTTCCACATAGCATTTAGACTAAAACCTAAATTTCTGCCACAACTTACTCATTTTCTCCAGGTAATGAAGGTAGCGCCCTGTCACCTTCTGCAACGGGACAAAAGAGACGGTTTTAAGAATAGAACTGTACGACACAGCATGCATGCATTCTTCTGAGGACGTGTATGAGTGAATTAACAAGGAAAAATCTGTACAGACCTTTACAAATGGGAAGCAGTTAGGTCAAATAAGCTTTAACGTCCCAGGATTGTGCACGAATAGTCAATGGTTTTTCTAAAGTAGAGAGCTTTCCAGAGTAGAGATTTTCCAGGTAGCCAATAAACATCTTTTTTCTTTCAGACAGCAATGCATGCTGATAGGTTCAGTGGCATGCATAAGAACCAGCACATGGTTCTCTGCATGCTTACCAGTTTGCCACAGACAATTACATGCAGGTCGTAGGGCAACTTGACATAATATGTGACCAGATCCCACAAAATAAGTATGAAGGCCATATTCTTAGTACAGTTATGGTATGTAATTTGCATGGAAAAGAAAAAATGGAGCTCTGTTAAACTGGCATTATCTGGGTGAAAATGTCAATGGATCATGCCGATTTACGTTGTGCAAGAATCTTTTAAAGGTCTCCAATTCAAAAAGAGCCTTCTGCAACTTGTGACTCATTTTGTCAGGCTGGGTCACATATATTAGTCCTCAGTTGAAGTGTCTTACACCTTGACAGAAAATTGAAAGACAAGTACTTTGCTTTTGAACATTTTGACAAAATCAGTTGGTAGAAAAGACTTAAAAAATCAAAAAAGAATAACAAGTTGATAGGTTATTATTCAAATTAATTTACAAATATCAGCCAACAATTAAAGCAAAAATATACTTGCATTGGATTTTCACAACCCACATAAAATATAGTTATTTATTCATGTCGTGGTAAAATGTAATGCCACCTACTATTCCAATAATGAAACGGGATGTACAATGTATCGACTGTGTACAAGAACTCTGCTGTGTAACCTACATGTACATGTATGCTCACAAAAAGCCATCTGGGAAACACATTATGTACATGTATGTGTGCAGTGCCTAGCCAGCACTGCATCATGGGAAATACTCCTTTTGTTACAAAAATCCAGACCAAAATTTCAGAGGGTTTAGTGTATTCCCATATTATAGGTCTTTACAATAATCGTCTGAGGTCCCGACAACTACAGGCCAAACTAACATATGGATTACATGTACATAACAGTTTCCACAGAATGTGCACAAATTTATCTTCTTGTGACAGGACTGCAGCTTGGCATGAACATAAGGTCACTCAAGTGACCTTCAAAGACGCGCACGTTAACGCACACACTTTATAAGGTCTATGCTGTTTTTTCAGCATTTCAAGCACAATTAAGACACTTTGCAAACAAATGCTGTCCAAACAGAATTAGGATTTGGGCAGCTACTTGGTCTAATCAAAAGATGCCAAAGTATCACTAGGCAACAAAGTTTCCCTGAGATAAGCCACCATTGTCATAGGCACCTTGTCTGGTTAGCAACTGTACGTCACAAGTTGTAAACAAGACAGCAAGGTGTATTCTCATGTAAAATAAGAGTTGAGTTCTTTATTAAGTGGCGTAACGGTCACCACTGGAACCATCTGGTTACAGCGCCAATTTAGCACTGGGTGTTGGCTCTGTGATTTCCTTGTACTTTGCCAATCTATGAACCTCTGCAGCTCTTGCTCACTGCCTGAATACTACTTTGCCCATGACAATGGCTGAATGGATGAATTTCGGGTCGCATGGCTCAGCAAGAGTACTCGGTTGGCCAGGATTTATACCGTGGCTGCCCGAATAAAACAGGTACATCACGCAGTCTTGGTTGGTAGTAACTGTTAAGTCGGATGAAAAGGTGCAATCAACACATCAATGACACAAAAACCTTCCAAACAAAATTGCAAGAAAAATGTCTCAAAAAGGTCGGCATCCTTGATGGCTTTGGTGAATGAGGTACTACAGCCTACTGCCTACAAAGTGGGATAACGATGACAGGCACGAGTGCAGACAAACCATTGGCTACCATCAGCAAAAAAATCGAATCACCACACTTGAATACCAAGAGCAATCATGAACTGATATACTCAGATGCCCCGACAGACGGCACTCCATGTAGTCATGAGATGAATTAGAAATATGAAAATCCAAGTCAAAAAATACATCAGTAAAAACAGATGCTAACTCATGCTGGGAAAACTTCCCATACTTTTCAATTCACAACAACCACTGTAGTACTATAATTTAAGCTACATTGGCAGAAGAATGCTTTACTTCAAGTGCAATTCCTTTGATGTTAAATCGTCCCAATGTAGGAATCTGACGTCCCAACAGCAGGAATCTGACGATCCCCAACAGCAGTAGTTTGGGGATAGGTACAAAATGTGTTTTGTGTGGACTTGAAAGTTAACAGGCATGAATACTGATGGATCAGTTAGTTTGTTACATCTGGCATACAGGTACATGGGACACAAACGTGGTGGGTTAGCATTTTTGCAGGCATGAATTAGAGGTGTTGTAAGAGTGAGCCGTTATCAGAGAAATATGACACAATGGTCCTGAAAGAATTCAGTGATGTTCATACCAGTGTTGTAGTCGAGTACTTTCCGAGTACCAACGTTTTCCGCAAAATACTGAACTGGGTAAGAGGGAATAAAGCCAGAGTGCACAGGCATTTGATGGTAAATGTGCAAAGGTAAGATTACAAAATAACTGTTAGACTTCAGACACTCCCAGTTGTGTACAATTTAAGTTTTAAGGAGAAAAGTACTCGGAAAGTACTCGGCCAAGTACTTTCTGAGTACTTTTGTCCTAAAAAGTTAACTTTAATCAAACAGTAAAGGTCTGAAGTCATTATGTTGCTTTGTAATCTTACCTTTGTGCATGTACCATCAACTGCCGATGTACTTCAGCTTTGTTCCCTCCTAACTAGTTAAATATTTGGTAGAGAACTCGGTTCTCAAAAAGTACTCGACTACATCACTGGTTCATACCACATGCTGACAATATGTGATATATTTACACCATTAATGATATATGTAGCTCTGACTCCTGAGCTCTGGCCACAAGGTACTCACATGCTGGAGTTGAATTATATAATGCTAAATGTCATACATAAACTTTTTGTCCAAGATCACAGAGAATGGCATCCTCCATTTCTCTTGGCTGCCATTTTCTCTCTACCATGTGCAAAACATCAAGGAACTGTCACAGCAGACAAACTGTGTGCAGTATGTGCACTGTGCTACTCTCATGCCAAGTTTGATAACATTTGTGGAAACAAGAAAACTTCTAAGTCTGGATTTTTTAAATATGTCCTTCGGCAGTGAAAACAGACCATCTAGAGGTGAAAGCGGCGGGAAATCTGTACTTAGCAGGAAGTCATGGGTTTGGGTCCCACTCAAGGACGTTTGTGATTTCTCATCGGCTTCTGGAAAATATCGAGCATACATTGCTTGTAAAAATTACAAAATAAAAAAAAAAGCTTTTTAAAAGAACATAATGAAACTGAAAATTGATTTCAGAATTAAGCAAATAAAAGTGAGCTGTATTCCAGTTGAACTGCATCATTATACATTGATGGACAAACGCATGAAGTACTCTCCAAACTTTGTGACAATATGGTTCATATGCCATTTTGTGGTTGCTTCACATTAATTCATTCAATCAATTATAAAGTTCACTTTCAACTTGTTAAGAGCTCTTAACAGATTATCACTGTTAGCCAAACAAATGTAACAAAAATATATCATTAACAATTCACACGCTTTCACAGAGAGTTAAAATAAATAAGTGACAAATGGATCTCTGTCCAAACAATTCCAACAAATCTGTGCCCTGCACACAAGGCTGAAACACAGATTAAAATGTTTGACACAGTGGGAGTGAGATTGACTAACTTTGGCCTTGAGACTAGTAATTGTAACAATGTAGATTGAAAGTAAAAAAAAAGTATTTGACATGAGCCAATTACCACAGAACAGGACGGTCCACATAGAGACATATATGTATGAGCTTGACAATGACTGTGGGAAACAACACAAAGTTTAAAAGAGTGTAAACTTCGTGGTGACTGACGGTTTCTGTCATCTGCTTCGGTACTAAGCAGAAGGACCACGAAAGAGCATCATCAAAGCATGAGACTTAATAAAGGCATGCAATCTGCCTTGAGCAGAAGCACCCCTTCATCGGCTGAAAACAGCCATGTCGGTCGGGAGTGTTCAATCTGTTTGTAGCGCTGCAACCGTGACGCACGCATTTCATAGTCGTTCATGAAGCAACGAAGATCAGTTCGGACCAAAGGAGCCTCTGTTGCTAATAAAACAGCGCCCTCTCTTGGTCTAGCTCTAGGCCCACATTCAGCCAGTTCTTGTTGGGTGCAATCATCCCTTCCCAATACGCAAAAATGTCCACGTTATCTGACACGCTACACGTAGTATGAACCAGTGAAATGTGTGGCTCTGCCCAAATTACCTGGCTGTGGCTGTGGCTGCAGATAACGTGCACACCTATGATGTCACTAGGTAGAAACTGTGGTTTTATGTCACTCGTGGCCACTATCAAGGCTTCTGTGCACGATTTATTTATAAACATGTCTTTTGGCCAGTTTCATTGGCCAGTTTCAAAGCGCTCACCTGCATTCATGCAGTCTATCCACCCGGAGCAGGACCAAGAGAGGGCACAATTTTTTCCCAGCAATGGAGGCTCCTTTGGTGGGAACTGTACTTTGCCAGTTCATGCAAGAGAATGAAATGTAACTGCGTTGCCACCACCAACACTCCCCACCAAACATGGTTCTGTTTAACCAATTACAGGATGCTTTGCATAAAATAGATATTGTGACCTGTGTTTATTGTACACTGTAATCATGAAATTGCCTTGGTTCAAACCTTAATGCTCTATTTTGCATTGAAGTCTCACTGGAACAGCGGCTGGTATACTTCACCACTTACGTGTCCTTCAGAAAACAAATAGAAAATACACTGGCACTGTTTGCTGGCAGAATGCACAAGTTTGTACACTGCCAATGAAAATGTCAAAGGTCATATCATCTGTACAATATCCGATAAGCAGGCATAAAAACATTCACTCCAACACTGCAGAATAACAGAAATTAACATCAGTCACCACGAACAGCAAAAGAGTCTTCATGTGATTCCTACAGAGACCAGTGAGAACACCACAAGTCAGACAGAGTATCCAAGCAGCGGGGGCCAGTTTCATAGACCTGCTCAACACAAAATACACTGACCTGGCTAAAAAAAGGTTAACGGGCAAACTGCCATGTAAAGTACATCACTTGGGACTGGTTGTATGCTTATAAAATTTTACTAGTTAGGCAGTGTCATCAACTTAAAGGATTCACTTAGTAAAGACTGTCATGCTGAGAAGATATCAGTAGTGTAGCCAGGGCGGTGACGTAAGGGGGGGGAGGGAACTTGCCTCCCAGCCGATGCCCCTGCCCTCCTGGGTGGCCCCCTATGTTAAATCTCCCTTGAGGTTAATTAGCTATGCCGCTGCAGATTTCTTCTTGAGGTGCTCCCCTGAAAAACTGTGTGCACCCCTGGGTGCCCCCAGGACATTTGCCCCTTGTTATGCCACTGAGCCAGGGTTCTGTCCATGGATGGAAGGGTAAGGAGAGGGGGATGCCCAATTTTGGTTTGATTCAGGAACCATTGTTACTTATGGTACAGAACTAACACATGCATTACATAGTAATGTAGCAGTTTCCTGTGTCAGTGCTGATCAGTGTTTCAATTGAATGCATACCACTTTAAAAATTTTCAATAAAGTGATGACTGAACAGGTTGATGTTCCTGCTTCACAGCCACTTCAATATACAGTGATTATATTCAGGTATTTGCTTTTTGCTCAATTTGCCAAATTCCGGGGGGAGGGGGGGTGACTTGGGTGTTAACTAGAGGCCGATGATTTCCAAGGGGGTCCCCAAAGTCCCCCTCACTATGCCACAGAAATGTACTTCCAGGCAAATCTGTGTGCTAAGCACACAAAATCTGGGAACCAGTCACAACAGATACATAATACATGGCATTTTGGCCGTTAATCAACTTTTGCTATTTACGGTGAATATGCTTTGGATATTGCTGTGTTTTGCAGCTCTATGAAATCAGGGCCCCACTCTGTGCTAAACAGCTCACTGAACCCTGATCTTATCCCAGCATACTTACGCTGTGAGGCCTGTGATACAGACACTTCTCCTCCTCTCCTGGAGGCGTTAAAAGCTACGCAGCAAAGGTTAAAGGTCAAAGGTACAAAAGGTCAATGGTTAATAACATAGGTAGGCCCAGTGTTAGTCTTCAGAGTGGAATAGCGAAGGGTAGGGACTGCTTGGAGCAAAAAGGAATTAAATGAAATTTTGACGGCCACATTGTTGTCACCATGTGGAATCTTGTAGCTTTCTGAGAAGTTTCAAGCCATTACTCAACTCTTCAACTTCAATTTGAAATGGAACCCCCCAAAGAACCTGTGGGTCTGTTATTTTCTCTCGTTACACTCTCACAAAATCCATGCAACCAACCATATAACTGAACCATTCGGGCACCCGAGTTGTATCATTGTATAAACTACGAGTAGTTGCTAATCAAAATACAGAAAAGTTACTTTCAACTGTTCTCATCTTCACTGCAAAAATCCAACTTTCCAACTTCACCATGGGACTTCACAGTTTACTCCAAATTTCAGTATTCACAAAGACCAAATGCTAAAGAATAAAAGTTTACAAATGTGGAAATACATGTAGCAATACAACACACTAACGGAAATCATGTGCTCTTCTGTGAGTAATAAAAATAATGTGCTTCAAAAGTTCTGAATAAAAAGATACATTACAATCAGAACCATTGTGTAAAATCACACAATGCTTAAGTGACCAACTGCATCAATGGATAAGTTCAACAAAATAAAAGTAACTTGGAAACACTCCTGCTATTGTATGGAAATGACATTGCAGCCAAAGTGAAATAAACTGTGTACAAGAATCTAAGCACAAGCTTACTTTCATTGATTGGGGCGCCTACCGCACGACGTTTTGGTCGGTACTTTGACACCAACTGCCAAATAACTTAGCCATAAAACGAGTGCAAATGCTCAAAATGAAGCATGCCTAAAATTGAAAACATCAATGTGCATGAGGTTGGCCCTATCAGGGCAGCTGAGGCACACACCCCAAACCCGTTCTGGCTCGACATCAGGTGCTTTGTTCTCGAATGACCTTGGCTTTATGAAACTGGCCAATGGCAACACCTCGTGAGCTCGCTGCAAACGTGTGCTCAGATTTCTCTTGGCCACCGAGTGCTATACAACAATGAGTTAAATAATTACATGTACAGCCAGTGAAAAACAAAACATTAAATAAGTGCATGTAAAATGTAACCACAGTGGTGGAGTATTTACACCGTACCGGCGAGTAAATTCAAGGGTTTCAGAGGTTTTCTTTCCGTCTGTGTTGCATCATGATCCCTTCCTCTTCCATACTGCATTTGATCCTTTATTACATTTAGGTATTTTTCAAGCGGCCAGAAAAATCAACCTGCAAGTTACCCTTTTTTACTACGCTGCTTTTAGTTCTGTTGTTGTTTCGTTTCTTTCAAACATTTATTTCTCTATTTGCAACTGTGTAGATCGTTTGCAGGCATTTGACCGAAACCGCCATGACTATAATTTTGAAGCTATCACTTCAGAACAAAAAAAAAGGGATTACAGAAACTGCAAAACAGCATTTGCACTTGATCATTCCATGAATAAAACAGAAATTCTTGGCATGTTTCAATCACAGAAACATGTTTCCTGAAAGTTATCCGTTTTTCTGAAATACACATCCTGTTCTCTCAAGTCAGCAAAACATAACCGAAAGGAAAATGAAGCAGGGTTGACAATTGGAACACCATCGGTCTCGGTGCTTGTCAATGTGTACACTGTACAATTTGAATTGGACTAATAGCAAATGCACTTGCATTGTTTGCATTCTGCACTGGTGCAATGCACGCATATGATAACCTCACTCCGACATGACAAAGAAGACCCAGCAACTGTGATGTCATCTGCAAACCATCTACTCATTGACACATGAAGACACATCCAAAAGAAGCAATACTAGTGTGCTTGCTATAAAGAATGAAACAAGTTGCAAATACAACTACAAAATGGCATGCAAGAAAGTACATACATGTACACCATGCAAACATCAAGTTAACAAGAACAGAGACAATAGTTTAACATGCAGTGTCACATGCATCGTCATTGCTGCTCCGTGTCTCATTAACACCAACAGAACCTGATCAACAAAGCTCTTTAACAAAACGTCTGATTTTTCCACAATGCGCACGTAGAGAGCTTGGCTACAGAACACCCAAATAACATCAGACCGTTCCTTTCTCTCTGGCAGGCACATGTACTTACAAGCGGTATATTGGAGGTACGAAGTCTTGTCCCTGGGGACCACGGTAAAAGCTGAGACACACATACACACATAGAGGGTTTAGGCACAAATTCAGAAGTAACATCATCTATGAGTTTGCAAATGGACAAAAGGCCAGGGATAGTAAAGACAACCCTTTCCAAGCAAATATTCCAATCTAGAACAGAAAAAGTAAAAAAGTCTCAAACTGTAATAAGTGATATGATATTTTAAGCCCCAGAAAAAAGGGAAAGCTAATCATTACAAAGCAAGGAGCTTTTCCAAATTTTGAGATAAAGTCCAGTGCTTTCCTTATCTTCACACAAAATTTTTTTTTTAAATTAGTGTCACTTCGAGGAATGTGATGGACTGTTTTTAAAATCAAGAATACATTCTTTGACTGAATCTCTTCTCCATAATTAAGGATCCGGCAGTTTTTGTTTATTTTTCATTAATTATTTCTAATTGGTGTGTTGAGGATACTAAAAATCCCACACCCTCAAAATTGACCCCCTCCAGCAGTGAATCATCCTTTTTCTAGCTGATGTTTCACCCCCCCCCCAAAAAAACATTTGAAGCAAGATATGGGACAGAGAACCCCCCCCCGCCTTTGTGTTGGTCACTGTTTGATCGGAATCTCAGGAATTCTTTGCAGACTTCTGGGGGGGGGGATATGTTAGGTAACAATAGTCTAGAGTTTGTATAGGGATTGGACAGGTAAGGGGGGTACCCTTCCGTCCCATATCTTGCCTGGTATACGAAAGAAAGAGGTTCTCCCCCTTGGAAAAAAGTGGCAAGGCCCATATGTCCAGGTTAAAAGGATTTACAAGCACAAATACACTCAATATAGATTTGACATTGTTTGGAAATCAGGCAGGATGAACCAGCTGGACAGCAAGCGAATCATCTCTAGAAAAAAAAGGTTTTTTTCCTAGGACAAGCTCTGAGAAATTCAATCCCTGCTGTATATGCTTTATATGCGTGGCCGGGGTATCCGAACTCGGACAAAGGGAACAGGGCCTTGTAACAAAAGACTGTACTCGGAACAAAAGACCAGGCTACTGGGCATTACAGACATTTTTTCACTCTCAAAAGTGGAGATAATCCAGCCTTGTTTTGAAACAGTATACCACGGTTTGGGGCATTTAGAGTGAGCTGATTACCAGCGGGGACAAAAGCACTCCACCACCACAGTGATGAGCCACACAGCACCCCTGCATGCTAATCTGGCCCCTATTGAAAAGAGGTCAGCAGCACACTGAGCCAGGTTCATGAACAAAAGAAAATTACGTAACACCACAAAATCTGGGCTCTTTTTACAAGGCCGCAGGCCTGGCTGAAATACTCAGGTGTCAGTAGATTTTGTCTGTCAGGCTAGAGGGGCCACCAGACAGTCCTTCACGTGTTTGTAAGTGTCCAGTAAATGAAAATGGGAATTTTTAAAGAATTTTGAATACGGAAAAAAAGAATAAATATCCCAGCCCAGCATCATCAACATTGACAACTGCCCCGGCAGGAGGTGGTTAATCAGTATCTTTCTGTATCATCACAGAAACCGGAGGCTGCAAATTGTAAAGAAACCAAAAACTGTGAAAAAATGCTTATCACATCCTGTTCCAAGAATTTGTTCCTTTTTTAGGTTGTCCAAACAAAACCAGCTGCCATCAATCTCTTCTCATTTCACTTGTACACGCGTAAGCAGAATGAAACTCCTATACCACACCCATTTAATTAGAATCTATGCAGAGTTTCTAGATGTAACTGTCATGTCTGCTCCTGTAATGCCCCAAGAAACGTATCAAATAATTGTAGGTCGACGTAAGTTTTGACCAACAACTACACGCATCTAGCTAAACACTTCCTTCATGTTGTACTTGTAGCATTTGTAACTAAGACCCCTCGGGCAATTTTGGACAAAGATATCTTTCAAGATGAGGCCATCTGGGCAAGGTTCTCTGAAAGACCACCAAGGATCCCAGTTAAAGATCATCTAAGAAATTAGAGGTATCTGACTATTTTTAGCCGATTTCTTCCATTCATCGAAAGTATGTACAAAAATGACTAGGTCCAGTGTTTTCTTAGATCAACATTTCCACAATTCCATCCCCCATCTTGAACCCCACCTTAAAAAAATCCTGGAATGCAATGACCGATTCTCATTACTTGCATACACGTACATCTTGAGAACAACTGTGGTTAATGAAGGAAACAGGCAGACCACATACAATTCAGTTGCACCATATTCATCTACTCTGCAAGCATGCACTAAAGAGACCAGGTTACTCATTACTCATTCCACAAGTTGCTTCCTTTTGGACTGTAGACCTTTCTTTCGCTTACATACACTGACTGCCATTTTGTATGGGTGGTCAAAGTTGGGAGAAAAGTTATCCTTGGTTTGTAACAAATTTTGCCCCCAAATGGTCATTTTTGCTTCATCAGTGTTAAAGAGCAACTAAAAGGAAAACACATTTTCTCTGATTTTTGTCTGTTCAAATAAACATGGAAGCATCCACATCAACCGCAGTGTCATTTGTCTTCAGAGCTCAACTATAACAAGCTGAAAAGGTTTTTTTTTTCTCTTCATGCCAAGATGCGAATTCTGAAAGTTGATTACGTCATTCTGAGAAAACAGAGAAAATGAGGGGAACCCTCGCCCTGGGTTCGTAGTGGATAAACCTTGTGCATATCAAACAGCGCATGTAACCATTGTGTGTAGCCATTGTCTGGCATGCACAAGGGTTTATCCTCTACAAACCCAGGGCGGGGGTTCCCTCCTTTTCTCTGTTTTCTCAGAATGACGTAATCTACTTTCAGAATTTGCATCTTGGCATGAACAGAAAAAAAGCCCTTTTCAGCTTGTTATAGTTGAGCTCTGAAGACAAATGACACTGCGGTTGATTTGGATGCTTCCATACTTATTTGAACAGATAAAATCGGAGAAAATGTGTTTTCCTTTGAGTTGCTCTTTAAAATGGAAGCCACTTTAATGACAGCATTTAGTGGAAGTATTTTTTAGTGTTTTGATATTTGCAAGAAAGTTGGGAACACTTTGCGAATTTTAGTTATGAATTCAGGGCCAGGCATAGTTTTGCCAACCACTAGCAAAAACTGTCTTGGGACATGCAAAAGAAAGATCTATTTTACTATTTTGCAGCTAGGGTAGAGATCAGACAAGTGTACATGTAAATTTCCAAGGCATTCTCATTCATTGTAAGAAGGGATTCTGCCATTCTGTGTCAATTCCATCCAAGGGTCCCCTCCAACTGCAAAATAGGCTGTCTTTGGGAAAGTTTCAAGGATTTACATAGAGCAAAATGGAGGATACCAGACAACATGCCCACTTGAAGGGAATGCCCTTCAAAGGAACTTGAATTGGTTCATTTTGGTCAGTTTCAAGTTTGAAAGCTGGAAGAACTTCAAAGGAACAATTCACTCAATGCAAAGGTATCACCCTCAGACTTCATTCTAAAAACAAATTAGAGATGTTGCCAAAAATGACATGCCCACCAAATAGAAAACATGCTTATAACGTCAGAAGTCATAATAAAATGGTATGCTCCACTTCCATATTTTCAAAAGGCACTCTTATCCTTGTTAGACAACTGTAAAACCGAGAAGTGTTTTCGCTGTTTTTCATACAATCCTTTTTTGAATGGACAGCATTCATGCAGAAGTGGACTTTCATTCAGTTTAGGGTAGTGTTGTAGTCAAGACCATGATACCAAGCTATTCAAAGGAACTGCAAATCAAGCATTCTTCCATCAATTATTCACCCTCTTACTTGTGTCTGGTCTCATGAAGGGTCTCGTGTCTGGTCTGGTGACAGTCTCGACTACAACACTACATGTACATGTACTTTGGGGATGGAGTTAATCTTGTTACTTGTTTGCATTAATGAATTTGACATACATGAAGAAATGACAGGAAAAATACAACTACGTGAACTAGATGACATAAAAAAATGAAAGATTATCAAACTGGATATTTTGTAAAGCTCTGAAACAAAAAGTGCACCATTGGTTCATGGTCGCAGAAAGAAAACTAAAAAAAAGGGAAACTAAACTCAGTCCAGTGGTTAAAGGTCAGTGAGTGGTCAGGTTGAAAGACAAATTTCTCAGAATTTCACTATTACAAAGCTGACAAAAAGACTTAGTTTGTGGGGAAATTACAAAGCCGTGGACTGTCCTGTGCTCAATGAATGATCACAGCTTTATAAAAAACCTCAATTTGAAAATATCAGACTCGGATTTCATTACAGAAGTGACGGTAATAATAGCATTAGAACCTGGCATTGAAACAATTGTTATAAATATATTAACTACAAAGGCTGGAAAAATGTTTGGACCATTTCTGGTGAGAAAAAGAAGCCATACAAAATGTTTAATAATCCTTAATCTGTAAAATGGAAGCCCTTGGGAGGCCATGCTGAAAGTATGTTTCAAAGTAAAGCTGACTTTACATGACCCAGTTTTGAGGAGAGTCCACTAAGTAAATTGGGGTGGGTAAAAGGCTTACCTTGCTGTGGTCGGACAATAAGGGACATCTCTGTCTTGAGAGCCAGCCGGCAGTAACCATCAATCAAGTCTGCCATGTCTTCAGCTATCATAACTGAGGGCGTTGTGATGTACACAGACTAGAGATGCCAGAGTGGAGAAAAACAAAGATACTAAACGTTACAGTAACCATACAGGGCAACAGCTTCTTGTGTCATATACATGTACAAGAATAGTTTTAAAAGTTCAGTTAAGGGCCCCAAATTTCAATTTGACACTTAATTTCAGCTGTCAACTATGCACAAAACCCATGCATACATGTAGAAAGCAAGCCCCAAGCAATTAGGCTTGTTTCTAGACTGTGAGGAATTTAATGTTCCTGATTTTAAGTTGAGTAAATTACTCTACAGAACCAGCTCACAAAGTTAGTGATGTGAACAACTTGGAGTGCTTTCTCATAAATTCAAGACTTTACAAATTCAGGACAGCTCTTTGGAATATCCCGAGTCAAATAGTTGCACCAAATATTTAGGAATGGTAACTGATTGCCGGTTAAACCAACGCAACCCATCCCTAGTAGACTGATTTGTTGTGAAAAAGAAAACACTCAGATTTAATCCAGAATCAAGTCTTCAATTCACTGTAACCATGCCTGCCTAAAAAGGGGAATGATGCACATTTTTTTCAAAATTTCATTCTGTAAATTGCCACTAATCACACACTGATAACTGTTCAACCCTTATACATGGGTGATTTTCAGCGCAATTCATATCAACCAATGGGAGGGACAAACTGACTGTAAGTTTCGAGTGCACAACTGTATGAGCATCAAGTGCAGGTGCATTATCACCACACCATACAGAACAAAACAAGAGCTAACACATTAGTACTAGGACCACTGGCACGGGTTGGAAGCTAGTCTTCATTATATTGTGACTGATATCTTGGGTATCCGTTCATCCTGCCATGGCGAACATTTTTTACAACCTTTTTTTCCCACACTTGAATCTGACGGAGGTAGCTGAAATTTCATTCACGTGTTCCTAAAGTATCGTCCTAAAATATCCAAATGCAAACACAAACACATTGCCCAAGGACATATTTATTCTAAACCTTGCATTCAGATTTTTCCAGCTGTAAGGAACATATGAATGAATTTTCAGCTACTTCTGCGAGGTCAAAGAGTGGTAAAAATGTGTTGTAAAAACTTTTGGCTTTGGCAGGATGAACTGATACCCTGGACGTCGGTTGTAATGTAATGAAGACACTATCCAACCTGGGTTACGAACTCACATATTTTTACTTAAGCACAAAGTGCAACCGCTGGAATTTGCAGAAATTACAGAAATAAAAATAACAGCAACTAACTTGGATAGCTACTGGTAACTTATCACAGTTCTTTTATTTTTTTAAATTGAGCCTTGTGGTGGTTTCCATTTGTATTTCTCCACAAAGAACTGTTTGTTTTTCTTTCTCAGACTCAAAACTACAAGAGAGAAGGCCAACCATTTGTGATATTAATGTCAATCTGCCTTGAGCAGAAGCAACTCCTCATTAGTTGAAGAGAACCATCTTGGTGGGGACTAATATAGAGGAAGTGTCCAACCAATCACCATCTTGTTGTTAGTGAAACGACTGTAAGGTATGCATCACACAATCATTTGTGAACCAGCAAAGTGCATTTCTCAGCAAAGGAGTTCCCACTGCAAGGGAAAACTGCACCCTCTCTTGGTCCTGGTTCAGGGTGGGTACTGATGAAACTGATCCATTGGCATAAATAATGTTCATGGTTCATCCATGTAAACACAGCGGTTTCTGCATGGAACAAGAGGTCTCCTCAAACCTTTGAGGGTGAGGATCACTGTATTTCCTAAGGGATGGGGAGAGGGTTCATGTAGCATCTGCCAGTTTAACTACAGTAAACTCTCGATAACTCAAATCTCAGGGGAATGGATAAAACAGTCAAGTTATCCGGATTTCGCGCCAATGCAAGTTCCTGAGTCTTTCTTGCACAAACAAGCACAGAGCACAAGTAACCATACTTGTCCCTGCGATGGCTATTGGGGATGCAAAAATTTCTATTTTACTGATAAATAAAACATAAACCACCAAAACTGTGCACCTTTTGTGGTAATTCACAGACCGCAACGCGAACAGCCCTGTGCTTGATCACCCAGCCAGCCGGGGTAGGCCAGGTCCGGGACTTTCCTGTTTGGCCACATGATCCTTCTTATTTAATCACTTGAGGGTGCACCATTTTGCATTTCAAACGTCAGAGCAGAGGGAACACGTCAGTCAGCATGTGAGCGGTGCTGGAGTGCTGCAATTGGGCAGGTGGCAGCAGCAAGGCTTTAGCCACTGCATGCACAAAGCTTCCTTCAGTGCGGTCACATGGCCACCGTAAAGAATCAACGATTGGACCGCATGCGTGCGGGCTACATTCGGGCCGCGATGGAAATCAGGCCTGCTCGAAAGCTGGCATTTGTGTAGGTTGTGGTCGCGACGAGTCAATTACAATGGCACTGGCAGCAAACACACTCGTGTCCTCACGCAAAAAGAACCACGGTTTGCAGGAATGACTCATAATTAAAGTCTCCGCGTTATTTTTCCACTCATTGTCAGTAACTTTGCCGTGGTCTTTTTGGATTGGCCCTCAAAAAAAAACTTCGAGTCAAGTGGATGTAGTGCTTCGGGCATTTCGAGTTACGGAGGTATTTTTGTACATAAAAGCCCATTCTTTTGGCAGGAACGAAGAATGTCTTTGAGATAAGTGGAGTTTCGAGTTAACCAACTTTGAGTTATCAAGAGTTTACTGTACATACATGTATGGTATCTGACTGAAAATTTCATTGGTTGACACATATTCAGCTTCACTGTCCACAAGACCTGTATTACACCAGCGCAGAACAAATCAGAATCTGCACATGATATAGGTGATATATTCCACAGCATTCATACATCTACAGGGAATAAATCGTATACATCAGTCATCACAATTTTGGACTTTGGCATTTAAATATACAAGGATGTCAAAATGGAAAACACATTATTCTGATGGGATCTCCCCAATACACGTATGTAGATTCAAAAACATTTCAAACATAAATGTCATACTACAGCCAAAGAATTATTGCTTTTTATCACATTGTCTGTGGATTTTGTATGCCCTAGGAGGCAAATGTCACCTCTTCAGCTCTGGTGCCATTTGACTCAGAGTGTACAAAATGCCATGGCAGACGACAGCTGTGAATGAAATTTCAAGGTTACAAATCTGATGAACTGTCAACTAATGATTCTCTGGAGCTCCTAAACATACTGATGTGCTGAGCCCAGTTGGGGTTTGCTTTGTAAACAGACAGAGATGACTCACCAAACTGATCTGCATTAAGCACTGCTTTTGACTGCTTCTCAGTTGGTTTCTGCTTAGCAGGTAAGTCAACTGATTAAATTAGCATGTTTAGCAGCTCCATTTAGAGCTAGCAGACAACTGTTGTAGGTATTTCTAATCAATCTCTGATCATTTCAACCAAAAGACTTTACCAAAACAGGCATGTGAAACAAAATCCACAAAAGTGTAGGGCAAGGCCAGGTGTGAACTGCAGTTCAATCACTATTCAATTTGTCTAACAATGTACACTGTATACGTTGTTCAACAGCAAGTGACTAATAGCTGAAATGCAGTTCTACAGGCACAATACAGCCATTCTTAAATAACTCTAGTCAATTTATTTGGTAAATTTTGCAGTTGGCTGAGATTATTGCGACATTTATGTTCCATGGTATCTGGTTCACTCATTTTTGGGTGACAGGTTTCCTCCACACTGATACATTAAATTGGCTGTTAATAACCAGCAGTGAGACCGTGCACCAGGGTCACCTTCTGAATAGTTGACTAGATGGTCCAAACCATCCATCCTTCAGGTGACGTTGGTGGAAGCATAGTGAACTACAGTCACTGGAACCTTTCCCTTCCTGGCAGTATGAACAAACCAATCACAACCTTGAGCACGATCAATTGAGAACTACTGCCATAACAACCAGGGTTCCGCTAACTCTGATTGAATGCAAACTTGGTGAAAAATAGATTGGACAGTGTTCTAGTCGAGGCCATCACAAGACTGGACGCAAGACCAGTCACAAGACCAGTCACAAGTAACAGGGTGAACAATGACACAGGAATGCTTTTGTTGCAGTTCAATAGAATAGCTTGTGACTTGAATTCAGACTGGAGGTCTTGTGTTGGTCATGTGCTGCTGGTCTTGTGTGCTCTTGTTGGAGTTGTGTACAAGTAGTTGACTATGCAGGTCCTGTCTGTTGATAATGGTCATCAAGCTGGTTATCAATGGCCATACGTATATCAAAATGCTGCACAGCAGGGAGCCAGGGGCTGGGAGTTGCTGTGATGGCATTTGACCACAGCCCAACTACAGAGATGTTCGCAGAGTAATGCTAGTATACAAATGCAAAACTCACTACAAACTAGCAACTTGTCAACCAATGGTCCTTGACTGAACTTGTTCAGTGTTGTTTATGTAATTCAAGAAATTTATACATTTTTAATTGGAATATAATCAGACATATAAAAGATACAAGAAACCCATGCGTATAACTTGCTGTCTTGTTTTGAGTAATTCACAAAATTCATACATTCTAATGGAATAGAGTCAAATACAAATAAGATGCAATAAACTCATGCGCATTACTTGGCATTAGTTCCTTAAGCAAAAGCTGCCATGCAGATTGTGAAGCAATCATGCATAAAGCTTGCCAGCATGCAAAAGTGTTAGGCTTCCTAGCATGCAAATACAAACTTGAATGCGTGCTGTTTGCAGTGAACAAATTGTCAACTGGTGCTTGGCACCTGTAGCCTTTGCAAGGTCAAGAATCACCGGTAAACGGGTAACTCTTTGCACTGGACTCTGAATTGGTGAAGCATCTTAATTTCTGGGGAAATATTCATCACTTCCTGAAAGTCCAATGTGAACCCCACAGAAGATAACTGGTCTCCCTGGGTACCTGCAAACTCAAGGGCTAGAATCTCCACAGAATTCTGCTCACTCACAAGGCATTTGCAAGGTGTTGCTTTTAAAAATCATCAAAGTGTGCATGACTAAGATATCATTAAAAGCTGTTAGTCAAACCAAGAGCAAAGGAAGAGAGGGTAAACACATTATAGGATGGACCCAAGCAGAAACTGCCGCTCAGTCGCTGTCACTATCTTTCTTTCTGACATAGTAATGTGTACATGTAGATTTTGTACATCTGTGCACAGAAATCAAGAATCTTCAGAATTCAAGTTGCCGCAGTGGCTACACTTTAAGTTTGTGCAGCCACTGAACAAGGCTGTAATTTGGTCCAGTCACAAGTCCTTTCTCAAGTCCAGTCACAAGTCCAATTTCAAGTCCAGTTAAAAGTCCTTTCTCAAATTCGGTCACAAGTCTTTTCTCAAATCCAGTCACAAGTCCTTTCTCAAGTCCAGTCACAAGTCCTTTCTCAAGTCCAGTCACAAGTCCTTTCTCAAGTCCAGTCACAAGTCCAATTTCAAGTCCAGTTACAAGTCCTTTCTCAAGTTCGGTCACAAGTCTTTTCTCAAGTCCAGTCACAAGTCCTTTCTCAAGTCCAGTCACAAGTCCTTTCTCCAGTCACAAGTCCTTTCTCAAGTCCAGTCACAAGTCTTTTCTCAAGTCCAATCACAAGTAAGGCTTGCAAGGACTTATGATGGACTCTACTCCAACTGTAACATTATGAGCCACAGGTGCATAATCAACAAGTTTCCGCTACATGTCAATACGCAATGTTTTGTGGGGTTTTTTGTTTTTATTTTACATTAATAATCAATTCAGAATTGAATTAAGTTCCACTTTTTTGTAAAACTGCCTGATGAGGATTTGTTCACGTTAACATATCAAATTTGCATTTGGAATGCTTTCTACAGTAACAACAAGGCTGCTCTCCATTACACCAAGGATGTTGGGTGCTTATTCAAAACTGCCCCTTTAAATGAATTGGCTTTCATTAAATAAAGAATTAGAATTGAACAATTCCAATAACCCTATTTACTGGCAAATGCTGCTGTGATCACTTTGTTTTCATCCAGAAAAATTCTGAGCATAACATTAATGAACTAATTTTTTGCAAAGATGCATGATGCTACAATGTAAGTTATAGGAAACAGCATTTATGCATAATAGCCATGCACAAGTTTCTGCCAGCAACATGTGGAAAGAAAATCAGCAAAAGCCATCAAATATTAACAGGAACTGAAAGGGTGGATTAGTAGACAACTTAACAAGGAACAAATTGACCAACATTAGAAAAAGTATTAGGCTAGACACACGGAGGGCATACTTACACATGCGTCAATCTCGTTAGAACCAGGGAATTGTGGGATAGGGAAGGGCTACAGGATTGGGTAGGAATGAAAAAAAAAATCAGAAACAGAAATCTAGGTGTCTATTAAGTCAAATGACAACTGAAGTTGGACGGCATGCAAGGAACACAGTTAACGTCACTGTAGTAACTATTGAAGACCACTAAATCTGGAAGATCTCTATTCTTCTTTGCCTTTTATACTTATCAACTTGGCTTTGATATTGTGCAGCAGGAAAGCCTGAGATTTGGAACTTGTAACACTTTGCCACTTACGGGAATTTGACTATCTAGGAAAGTTAAGAAAGTGGCATTGGACACAGACAGACAGGAAGAACATGAACTGATTTCAGAAAAAATGCAGGTGAAACAACTTTGAAAATTATGTAAAATCTTGATGGATTCTCCACAAGTTCTGCAATCAACTACTGTTCTTTCATGACCAGAATTTCACGGAACATGTAGAGGGCAACTAACAAATGCAAGTGATTATTATACTTGAAAATTATAATACTAAAGGGGACCTTTAAGCTTATTAACCTCACTATTTAAAAGAGAAAATGTGTCTCGATTACTCGTGCACATAAAGATGCACATATTTGGCAAAAATCCTACCGAATGAAGAGAAACAACAGGGAAACAGGAACATTTCCTTTTCCCAGAAATTTGGGGAGAAACAGTGGGAATTCTCAAACCTCCAGTGTTCAACTGTAATAACAAGCCTTTCACCTGGCTACATGTGCGCTTTGGGGCTGAATAAGTGACAGTATTTCCTTGTATTTGGGAACAATTCTCAAAATGATGCCATCTGATGCTCCTTTGTATTCTTAATTTACAGTGTGCTGGATGTAGCTGCAGAAATTTGAATACATGTACACATGTTCTACCATTTCACAGCTCTCTTACTACTATTACAATGACATTACTATGAACTGAATCAGGTTTCAGATAATTAATACAATTTTATTTCCCTGCGATCACGAGGATTAAATGTTTCCCTTCGAGGTGATAGATGGAGATATGTTTCATGAGGAATTCACAGTTTCAGACTAAGTTGCTGACAGGCTTTGATGGATACTCCTTTTCTTCCCTACCTCTGAGCTTAAATCCTCGGGGAAGCCATGAATGTTGACCCTATGAAACCCTATCTGATCCCTGTGAATTCTAGCCATAAATTCCATCCCTTCTGAGGGTGCATTTTCAACCCGGTTCCCCAAGGAACCACGAAAGATAACAACTACTCATTCTGTCAGGTCTGTGAAGTCATTTTGGGGCTCGTGCCTTCATTTTTATGACTGTGCACTTCGAAATACTCATGGAGACAAAAATCATCTCATGTGGTACCTTTTATAAGTCCACTGCATTCTAAGAAAGCTGGGTTTTTTTATCATCTCAAGAACCAAAAAACTAAACAGTTTGAAAAGTCCTGAATTACTCTTGATGAGTTTTTCTAACACTGCAGATTATTTTCAGAGTTGACGGACTAGTGCATTGTGAATTTCCTTTCTTATTTCAAGAGAGTACATGCAGCTTTGAGATTTTGTCTGTTTCCTTGATAAAAGCAGAAGACATCATCTAAAAATTCATAGCTCACTTGTAATTGCACTGACCTTTTTTTTTTTATTTGAGTGGTCTATACTTGCAGAAACATTTTGCCCTGGCTAACAATATTCCTTCAGAATAAGCCAGGTAGACAAGCTTATTTACCAGATTCCAGATATTGTTCAGAAAATAACAAATAACAATAAAAAGGGTCAACATTTAATTTCACAAATTTTGCCTCCTTTCAAAAGTGAGCTTTGAAAAATACGTAGTAAGGACAAAAAGACCTCAAAGTGAACATTAAGTTTGTCAAAGAACAGAAACGAGTGAAACAAACTATCAAAATATTTTGGAATCGTCCATTCAACCCTACATTTGTGGACAACTTCTCCTCTCGTAATCCACTTTATCAAGACTCCCAAAAATGAAGAAACAACTTATAGAGATTTGACAGAATGAAGGATACATGTACATGTGCCATGTAACTTTCTGGCAAGCACATTTTAAATCTCATCGATGGGCTAAAACCATGATTACAGGGTGCACGTGATTCTGGTTTGGTATCATTTACCAACAAACCGGACTGTCAATAAATGGTGAGCAGGCAATTAGAACTTTCAATGCACGAACGATACAATGCCTCTGCACATGCATTCAATCTCAAATGATGACAATCGTACCGAATCAAGTCACTCCTTGTGGTTTGGTTTGAAATTCTAAGGAGAATATCACACACAACACCAATACTCAAACGGACATGAAAGACACAATCATGAAAAGGCAAGCGAGAAAAGATAATTAGTTTTTCTTCATGATCCATCATGCATTGTTTAACACAACATGCAAAGAAGACAGGTCTACAGATCACCTAACGCTTTATTCCCCCTGAAACTTTACTGTACGTTTGAGGAAACACAGGCCAACTGTGGCAAGATCAGAATATACGCTAAGCATATCAGTGAACTGACTACTGAAATAGGAGGCATGCAAGACAGGTGTTGGGAGATAGTGTGTTCATCCAGTCAATGAATCCTCTCAGCAACGTTCTCAAGATGTTTCAGTGTTGCAGTTAAGTCCCCACAAGCCTATCACAAGCAATGACCAAAAATAAACAGGACTTTTTTGAAGGCCCTGTAATGGGATGGAGTACTCTTTGAATCTTATATTACAAAGATCTCATATGCAGCAAGGTATGAAACGGAGAGAACCCCCCTTGCTTTGTGTTGGTCATTGTCTCGCAGGAATCTGGGGAATTCCTTCCAGACATCTTGGGGGGATGTGTTAAGTAACAATAGTCTGCAATGTGTATAGGGATTGGACATGTTGGGGGGGTACCCCTTGGTCTCATTTCTTGCTGGGTATAAAAGATCTAAGTGGTGGGAGGCAGGTCTGGTGCCCAAAGTCACGGTACTGCCAACTCCGGTAGAGCATGTTAAAATCGTGGCACTCTTCTAGCCTCCAGTCCCCTTACAAGTCATTTGAATGAACTGTGATGAATGCATCCTTTGTTACCATTCATTCCCTGTTACAAAAGGCCAGACTTGCGACATGATGTGAAACTGACTTGTGATGGACTCAACTACAAACTATGGCCAAGCAGGAAAGAACATGTACCAGTAGGATGATGTCTTGGACCCAACTGTCAACTACATCTAAATCTGCGATTCTGAAGGGATAGTTAAGAGATCTGCAGGTATGAAACACTGTCACCAGCAGGGTTCTACTATTCAGTTGTGAGAATGTGAGCAGTAATCCCCCTATCTGCCATGGCTTGCTCCTACTACAGGTGTATCTAATCCTTACGCAGTGCCGTGCCCACACCACTATTTCACAATGGCCTGTATCTAGAATCAAAGGTTGAACTGAATTTGTAAAATCCATCCGCAGACTTTCTGATCAACCAGACAGTAGTCTGTAATTTGGAGCAGCACTGTGCCTAGCGTAACAACAGGGTGGCACGGCATTCCAAGTCCCATGCTAACCCCTGACCATATGACTGTAACCAGGGGATGCCAAGTGCATGGAGCTACCAAGATCACACAAGCTTGATGTGCAAAGCAAATACCTCTCTAAGCAACGAAAATGGTTATCGGTCGAAACCTTACAGGTTTTAACACTGCTTTTGGCTGGTTCCCTTACTGTTTTTGCTTCGCACATATTGCCTGTGTGGCAGTTCCATGCGACTGGTCCTAGAGTTCTTTGGGTCTCTCTTTTCTCCGTGAAAACAATCTGCATACCTCATTAGCACCAGATATTCTGAGTTGCAATAATCCCTTCTTGTTATTCTCCATGTCGCCACCCAGGGTTTGCACTGACTGGACCTGGGTGAAATCAGCCATCTTGGTGGGCTGCAAGGATAATCATTCAACTTAAATGCCAGTTTACAGGGTTTTTGCTGGATGTACGCTGTACATGTAGGTATAAACGGTTTGCAGATGTCAAGACTCACTTTTGACAAGGGGCTCCAGGACAAATCAGAGTTTTGTCAATATCTTTTAAATCAACAAACACTGAATGGTTTATGCTTGGTTGTTACACCTATTAATGTCAAGGAGTTACATGTACTTTTTTATCTTTTGATAGTTTTTGATGGAATCTACCCATACGTGAAAATGCCAATTTGAACTCAAAAGATATTTTATCGAAAGGTTGCTGCATAAGATGTTAAACATCTTTTCTGTAATCTTGCCACTTGAGATAACAAGTATTGCTCAAAATAAGAAGTAACAGGGGAAAAAAAATGATGTATATCAAGAAAAAGGGATAATGTTAGGGACAGTTAATGTGAATATGACCACAAGAATGCTGGTCTCGTGTGACAAGGGGGTTATAGACCCCTCTCACATTGTCTACTATTCAAATGTGCAGCCACAGGATGCAGATACACCACCCTAGGTTGGTGTCAGATTAACTGCCAAATGTACATGTGCTCCGTTACTCTAAAAGAGAATCATACCTTTTGTACAGTATTAAAAATAATGTTAAGAATTTGGCGTTTTGACAGCTGAATGAGATTAATACTGAGTGAATTATTATTCACATTTGTAATAAGGGCCAGCCATAGTTCCACTTGCCCCTGTGGGCAAAACTGAGACGGTGAAGTAAAACGAGCAGATCCTATACTCACCGTTGATGCCTTGTCTGTCAGGCAGCTGATACCATCCTCGGGACCAATGACTAACTCAACAGAAATACTCCAACCAGTCTAGAGTCAAAAACAAAACAGAAAAATATGGGAATTTCACAATTCCATTTTGAGAAAATGATTTCAACTGTTGTTCATTTGCTTTTCTTTGGTTCTTCCTGTTCAATCCAATTTTTAACATTAGTCGTAGTAAAAACAGTGTTTTACACACTGAAGATCTGTGGGCACCAACTTGAAAACTATAACGATGACTTCCTGATGCAAATTTACTTGACAAGAAAGAGAGGCCCCTCATTTTCTGTGGATATTGTGGGCGCTGTGCATAAATAGGCCTTTGGCAGCAAAAATGCCCATAACACACATATACGATATGGCATTTTGCACGTTTAGTTCAAAATTTGTGACATGCACACTACACAATTTGCAAACATGAACCAATAGCGCAGGTGATGTCCCATCCTTTGGCAACATGAGAATGCCGTACACAGCATCTTTCTATAGAACCTGCTTAAAGAATCTATAAAGAAAACCACACTCAAGGGTGGAAATTTTAACATGGCAACAATCCAATACATGCTGCCTTTCATAATCAAAGGGTAAAATCAAATCTGCCCTGGCCTTCGCTGGTTGGTGTCTAAAACCTGGTATGAACATCCTGCTTACCCCAAGGGCACACTTATACTTCTCGTGGTCAAAGCGGTGGACTCTGGAAAGGACCTCAAAGAACTTGAAGACACACTGCTCCTCATTGAGGTTAGCAAACTGCTTGAAGTACTGTAGTATCAACTTGCGTAGGTTTTTGGGCTGGATGCAAAAGTGGAATAGAAAGTAACCACTAGAAATGGTGCAAACACAAGCCATGAGAGTTAATTCCCAGAACACTGAAAGTACACTGGACAGCAAAAGAAACTTGCCACTTCTGTCAAAGGCCACACATAAAAATTCACTCCATAGAAATAAACAATTTTTGTACACAGGTATGCTGCAATACCCCTTACTAATCACATGCCCAAAAGCAAGTGATTAGCTTTATAACAAAGAAGAAATTGACATGCACAGCAACTTGGTTACTGAATCCACAGTCATACACAAAAGCACTCTCCACCAAGCAAAAATGACCCATGAATGGACAAGATTTTGAACAACCAATGACAAAGTGAACACCTGTTTTGTCAAAATGATGTTCATGAGTGGTTTCTGTGTAGGGATGCCATATACTGACTATGCATACACATTATAGAAAAGTAATGATTGTGACTTCTTTATTTTGTCCTGTGACATTGATTTCTGCGTAAAACTTATGGCTCATTCTGTCACACTCTGTGACTTTTGATTCAGTAATCTTATAACTAATTCTTAGTTATAAAGATAATCACTTGCTTTTGGGCATGTGATTACTAAGGGGTATTGCAGCATACCTGTGTACACAAATTGTTTATTTCTATGGAGTGAATTTTTATGTATGACCTTTAACACAAGTGGCAAGTTTCTTTTGCTGTCCAGTTTATATTCTTTTCCTATAGTGCCAAACAGCTGTCACAAAAGGACCCACTTGTAAAAACAAAATCAATGAAATTCAAAGTTACTAAGTTAGACATACATACCTTAGTGTTATCTATGACTGACTTTGGAATGAATCTCCTCAGGCCTATTTCTTTCCTGAAATGAGAAAGTGCACAGATCTATTTCAATCAATGAGACATACTATAAATGCAAAACGGCAGCGTGGGTAAATCCGTGAAAATGTGATCAATACACATATACCTGTACAATGTATGTTGTCAAGTTTGTGCACAGTGTAATGAAAATTATCTGAAAAACAAATATTTACTGGTACATTCATTATTTGTTTTCTGGTATACAATGCCGGACTAATAATATTTAGGCACCATCTCAATAAATGAATTCTAAAAAAATCTCTTAATCTCATCTGAATACTTCATGAATACCAACATGTTTAAAACATTCTCGTGACTGAGCACTGGAACTTCCATTCACTGGTAAAATGGAATTTTTTTTCCCAAAGCTTCTATGCTATGCGGTCTGAGCCATGCACTAAGATGAATAGTTCAATGATGCAGGATCAACGATCAACCAATCAGAGCACAGGGATTTATTCAGGCACTGTGTAATGGGCAACCTATTGTGCAGTTATGTTTCCAACAAGCTATATTTTGGGTTCATCACTACAGAAATTTCCCCAAGTGTAGCATGTGTGGAAGAAAGGACAGAATCGGAACACCCATGCTTTCTGTCGTCAGGAATAGGCAAAAAATGGTGAAAATAAATACAGTATATGTCCATCTTCAAAAGAGATCCAACTGTCATGACTCTTGTCGGATCATCTTCAGGCAGTTCACTTGAATGGACATTTTCCACAGAACAGACTTTGGTGCATCATTCATATCATGGACCCTTCTAAAGACTCTTGCATGACTTGACTGGGACTGACTCGAGGTAGTCAAAGTTGGCCTTCTTGTCCAAGGCAATCTGGGGCATGTCCTTAAAGAATCTCCTCATCTCCAGGCATCCCAGCTGCAGGGCCATGTCCATGTCTACTGTCTCTGCCACCTCATTCATGTAATCATTCCTGACCTGGAAAAGAAATCCAGGGTTAAGAGAAGGACAGAGGCAGAACAGCTTTCTTTTAATAACCATGGGCAAATTCTGTGAAGGACCTTTGAATATTTCTTACTTCAAATTGGTGTTCCATTTATGTGTATGACAGTGACAACCTGGGAAATTCTACTTTCATTAGAACAGACAGGCCACTTTTTCTATTGTACCTTTTTCTGCTGCTGATTTCTGCAAGGAAAGT